CTAGAATATTTTTGGAGAAATTGAGAAGCTGAGGCCAAAATTATATGGAAATATACATAAACCCAAAACAGTTATTTTAAAAAGGCAGTAATATTATCTGATTTCAAAGCTTGCTATACAAATCAACAATGTCATATTCATATACTAAGATATATAGATCAATAAAACAGAATGAAGAGTCAAACTTACACACCATGGTCAGTCGAGTTTTTGCAAAGTTAATTCAATTGCGGGAAGAATTGTGTTTTCAAGAACTGCTGCTGCAGCAGCTGGATAGCTATGTGCAAAAAAAAAAAAAAGAAGAACTTACAACCTTGCAATTTATTCTTTAAATAGCTGGAAATGAATCACAGACCTAAGTGTAAGAACTAAAAATACAAACTCTCTATAGGTAAATACAGAAGAGAATTTTTGTGACCATAATCAATGATTTTCAGAATGATGTTATATTTTATCATCTTTAAAACATGTGCCTTTCCAAAGACACTAGTAAGCCAATAGAAAGACCACTGGGAGGAAAAGTCTCTTTTGCAGTAATTGTTTGAGACGGCAAATGTGTTCCCCCAGGATAGAGTAGGGATGATCCGAACATAATGTGAATTTACACCGACGGATGTACAACTGCATCCATCAAACGCCAGGTAAATACAGGAAACGGCGCCCTCCTTAATTCAGCCACACAGGTATATGCAAAACGAACACACGCATTTGAAAACCAAGCAGTTACATCAATTCACTGTGCATATTATCTTTTAAGATTGTGGTTTGCTATCCTTTCACATGTGTGAAAGCAGAGATATACATATATATAAAAAATCATCCCCAACATGCCTAAGTATCCTCATTCAAAAACACAGACAATGAATGTAAAAGGAAAGCTTTAAGTATTCAAGAGAAGCTTGAAGTAACAAAGCATGTTGAAAATGAGAACATGGGATAGCTCTTCAGCAACATGCTTGAAAGGATATACATTGCAGATCACTGGAGACAACACTGAAAAAGTCAAAGAAATTCCTGTGGCTGAACAACTCCAAGCGCTGCTAAATCCAGAAGACCGAAGGAAGCAGGGTCAATGAAGAAGTTATTCAGCATGTGGGTTATGGACCAAACAGTGACAAAAATCAGAAACCCTTCTCATAAAAAAGCACTACCTATATGCAAAAAAAACCCCAAAAACCCTTAAATATAAATCACCAAATCCCTTAGAAATAGTTCCTCATTACTGACTAGTCTGAGGTTTTCAAACAGTGCTAGAACTGTAGAACTGGAAAAGCAATTGTAGGGTAACAGTTATTGTCTATCAGGGTTGGAAGGTATTATGACACTCTTTTGTCTTTCATTATTGCTATTAAAAAATCATCTCACAGTATAGCACTCATAGAAAGTCTTTTTTTCTCTCTAGCTGCTTTTAAGGCCTTCTTTTTGTCTTTGAGGCTAACATTTTATTATGAGGGGTCTTGATATTGATTTCATATTATCATACTTGAAAACTTTTGCCCATCTTGAATTCATGGATATGATTGAGTTCTGGAAAATCTCCACCATTCTCTCTTCAAGTTATACCTCTATCCTGGTCTCTCTCTACTGCTGATACTTCAATTAAAAAATATGTTGGAGCTTCTATCACCCTTATTGTTGAATTTTTTTCATATTTTTTTCTCTCTTGCATTCTGGATCATTTACTCTGATGACTATTTCATTTCACTAATTCTCTATTCACTTGTGTCTGAAATGCTGCTAGATGCACTTGAGTTGCCAGCAGGTGGCAGAAATGAAAAACTGGAGTAAAGAACTGTGGAACTAGGAAAAGACAGTTCCTTCGTCCATTTATCATGGTCTCTAACCTGTCAGTATGGAGTCCCCCAGAAGCAAACCATAACACATGGACACATGTGCGTGTGGCTTGTTTGAAGGGTGATTGCAAGGAACACTGCTATGGAGCTGGAGGAGGCAGAAAAGGAAAGGAAGGAAGCTAGTAAGGGGTTTATTATCAAACAGGTTACCATCGTGTGCAACTGAAGCTTAGTCCTTCTCAGGAACTTGGGAAAAATAGTTCCTATTTAAGCACAGATCCCTGGGCCCCACTCCCAGAGATTCGGATCCAGTAGTTGTAGGGCAGTCTCTAAGATTCTGCATTTCTAACCAACCCCCAGGAAACACCCATTAGTGTTACGGGTCAGTGGATCACACTTGAGTAGATGATGCTTCCATGGGAATTATTCTGTCCAAGAGACCAGGGAACTGGGTGTTTATCCATCAACTCGTATCAGTCATTGTTTTAAAAGACTGCTCTCAAACAGCATTAATTTCCTGGTACATCCTGTCTGCCCACACACAGGCAGAGCAGGTATCTACAGCCAAGAGAAACCTCTAAGGAAATGTGTCACAGGTACTGGCAGTGGGAAATCAGGTTGGCATGCGTTAAAATGGAAAATGCCAAGGAAATATTAGCAGAGCACTGCCAGCATTTGCTACACTGCTATATATGGTATCGTGGGGAAAATAAACATTAACCAAGAAATTACATGAATAAATTACTTATGATAAGTGCTATAAAAGTAAATTACATGATTATCCCTAAAGATAGTCTCATATTATTTCAGATGGCAACTTCTTAGAGTAGTTGATGCTGACCAAAATAATGCACTGATCACAAATTCATAAAACCACCACAAATCAGTATCGCATACACCAGCCATTACTGAATGTGCAGTATCTTATTTAAAGTCACTGTGATTGGCAGTTCACATTACAAATGTGTGAAGAATCATTAAGTTTTCCATTTTGTTTCATTTGGATAAACCTTAGCTAGGATTTACTTTGTCTTATAAACTTAAATTTCAAATATGAAAAGAAAGCTATGTCTCTATTAATTTTTTTTCATTAAATGCTTTCACTAAGAAAAAACCTAAACTGGTATTGTACTGAAGAGGTATGTTGTAATCTATTCTATTATATGAAATGTCTCTTTTATTTTGCAATTCTATATTTGCTTTCTTTTGAATATATTTTAAATGTATTTATCCCTTAAAGCACCTAAAGAGTTAGCACCTGTTAGAAAAGTTAGAAAACAGTCTACAAAACTACCCTTACTTCAGGGGTCCCAAGAGCACCCTCAGATTTGATAACTGCAGGGAAGACTGAGAATCTACTGAAAGCTATTATACCCACAGCTAGTTTATTACAGGGAAAGGATACAGGTTAAAATCAGCATAAGTAACACACAGGACAGAGTCTAGAGAAGTAATAAATGTAGCACTTCCAGCTGTCCTCTTCTGTGGAGTCACGGGCAGTGTCACTTTCCTGGTGTCAGTGTGTGACAACACACAGAGTGTACTGGGAGCCAGGGAAGCTCACCTGAGCCTTGGAGTCCTGAGTCTTCACTGGGGCTCCACCACAGTTGCAAGGCTGAATGCCCACATGTATCTAGCCTCTCAGGAGGTTGAGGTGAGACTGCGTGTCTCAAAGTCCCATCGTAAATCACACTGTTACTGTCTGGCTTGACCCAAACATTCCCAGGCAAACAAAGACACTTCTATCAGGCAAGACATTCCAAGGGCTTAGAGATTACCTCTCAAAGCCAAAGGCAAAGGCCAGACCTCTTTCTGGGCAAGTTTAAATTCTTTTCCACACAGCACCTTACTTACCCTGCTCTCATGCATGGTCAATGCACTAAGAAGCTCTGATATTCTTCTTCATCTTACTGAGTTTAACTGCCAAATCACGATGTTAATACTAATACAACTATGTGTGGACTTTCTGAAATGCATGTGCTTTCAACACTGTTAGACTTAGACGAATATTTGGGAAAAGTTAGTTTATTTATTTCAAGCCAACCCACAATTCACAGCTCCAACTTATTCTAGTATCACCAGCATAGAATCTTCTTTTTCTATACATTGGTCTTCATTGCTATAATATTTCATGTTTTGCAAAATAATGCTCAGGATAATGGTGGAATTGGTCTATGGTGGAATGCCTTTCGTTTAATATCAGGATGAAAATCTGGCCTTTTAAAAACTATAAATGTGTATCAGATAATTATATACCCCTCTCATGAGATGATTACTACACTGTAAGAAAATTACTGAGAAGTTCACTGTGCTCTGAGGCAGCAAAAATAACTTCCTCAAACTAGCTAAAAACCTGAAGACTGCTGCCATTTAAACATTAGCTGTTGGTGTTTCTAAACCGTTATGCGTCAGATATCCTCTGAAGCACAAACTATTGAGTAACACGTATGCATGTAAATCTGCAATATCTAATCATCCTGTTTGTTAAAGGCACAGAAATGCCTAACAATTTTATTTTTGGTTCAGTTAGATATCAAGATGCCCCCTGCTGGGCACTTTGTAATATATCCACACAAATAACAACTTTAGAGTACGAACATTTAAAATATTGACATGAAAAATAAATATTATGTTGTAAGCAAAGCCTCAATTTTATAAATGACAATGTAATATTTATGGGAAAAAACCTTAGCAATATTAAAATTAGTAAACATAAATCATTTTTTCAAGATTGAACATTTCTTTTATAAAAGTGTTGAAATATTTTTTTTACTTGAAGAGAATAACATTTTCCTTGGAATACAAACACCCACAAAAATGTTATCCAAGCAGAACAGAAAATATATTTTATCTAAAAATTAATGCCAGAATTTCTTAATGAGAGTAAAATATTTAAGGTAGTAGCTAAGAAAATTCTTATAGTGAGGTTATAAAATGCACTTGGTATTTTCTGTCTGAAATCTTGGGAGAAAAAACATTTTGTTAAATATCTCACTGCACTAAGTTTTAAAATAAGATACAAGGAAGGAAGCAATTAAACATATTTTTAATTCATAAACAGTAGCATATAATAAATATCACCATAATAATGATAGACAGTAAATTTATACACATTTTATAAAAACTTGATATACTAAAGCTACTAAAGAAATACCTACATGAACTTATATTAAAATGTTTTAAAAACAAACCATAAATATATCCTCTGATTATTTTCACCTTGTGTTCAGCTTCACTTTCTCATTCCTTGTTAACGAAATTCTGAACATTAAATGCTAAATCTCAGGCAGAAATTTTAGAATATTAGTTGTTCTTAAGGATTTCCTGCCCTCCAGTGGTATCTGCTTTAATATCTTCACTGCACCTGTCCACATTCCAAGGAGAAGACACGTCACTTCTACACTTACATTCTGAAATTATATCACACTGTACGGCAGCATCTAATCTGTCTCTCACTGCAGGTGCATTCTCTGTCTGTACCCATGCATCACATCTTACACACAGTGGGAGGCAGTCAGCACTGGTTTTGCTTTGTAACACGCGTGGTGAATTACTCTGACACTGTGCCAACTGATCTGTGGTATCTTTCGTTGGGAACTGGTCAAGACTCTGACTTTGTTTATGAATTCTAGCATTGTCTTTAATACTCTTATCATGTGAAAATTCTGCCATCCTTTCTAAATGAAAATTATTAGTTGTGTCTTCAGGTTTGGTGGATCTCCTACTTGAATCTTCAGTTTGCTGCAATGCTTGATCTTCATCTTCAGATGGCTAAAAAAATTTTAGTAATTTTGTTATAAATGATGCTTAAATTTTCAAAAAACTCATTAAAAGTATAAGTTCATAGTACAGAAAATTTCAAAGCACAGAAGAGACTTTGGCAAACTGCAAAACAAGCTAGACGTGTGGTGTTAAAAATCAAGGGAATTATGAATTTTTAAAATAGCAAGAAAAATTATAATTCTTGTAGTAAAAATACAAAAGAGTTAAAAAAGAAGTGGGAACTTTGTCTCTTATCAGTACCCATAATCCTAGTCTACATCGTCTCCTTTCATACAGAGCAAATGGTATACAACATGCTCTTGAACCACTTAAAAAGAGTGGAGTATAAGTAACAATTTTGAAAGAAACAGCTAACATGTAAAACTTCTACTATTCACTCACTGACTTAAGCAAGTCAAAAAAATATCTATTTTATACCTTTTATAGGACTAGTCCCATAAAAGATACAACTTGAGAATTATCAACAGAAAATAAAATAGATAATAGAAAAACTGAATAGCAATATTATAATTGTTATATAAAATGTCAAAGTTTAAGAACTTTTAAAAGTTCTAGATTTCAATTTAATAGGTTAAACGTTTCAACCTCATGAAAAATTTATATTTTAATTACTAAGCTAACCAAAATATTCTTTTAATGAAAATCTTATATAAAGGAATTGATTATTCCAGCTGGGGAAAAAAAGGCAAAGTTAACATAAAAATAATCCTAAAGTATCTGTCAGTTGACTTGCACCAAAATAGAAAAAGTAAGCTCAAGAAACAGCACTGAACCCTGGCTGGTTTAGCTCAGTGGATTGAGTGTCAGCCTGAGAACCAAAGGGTTGCTGGTTTGATTCCCAGTCAGGGCATATGCCTGGGTTGCGGGCCAGGCCCCCAGTAAGGGGGCCATGTAAGAGCAACCACACATTGATGTTTCTCTCCCTATCTTTCTCCCTCCCTTTCCCTCTCTAAAAATAAATAAATAAAATCTTTTAAAAAATAAAGTTCATAAAAATTTTTAAAAAAGAAATAGACTGGCTAGACATAAATTAGAGAAAACAAGCTCAGTAAATTTATTTATTCACAAAATGAATATTCATTTGGCATCTGCAATGGGAATGAAGCAGCCATGACCGCTGCCCTCTAACATGCACACTCTCCTGGGTAGAAATGACATTAACCAGTCAATCACACCCATGTATGTGTGACTGCAAACTGAGAAATACATCATGAAGAGCAAATATAAAGCACTTCAAGAGCACAACTGAGGGGACTAATGTAGATTAAGGAGCCAAGGAGGGGCTTTTAGAAAAAGTGACATATTTAAGCTAAGACATACAGGATGAATAAGAGTAAGACAGAAGAAACAGGATATATAATGCACTGAAGCAGAAAAGAGACTCATAAGCTAAGGAAAGTGCAATGTCAGTGCGTGTGGGGTATGGTGAGAGAGGAAGGAGGCTAGAAGTTGGAAATGTTACCAAGGTCGGAACACACAGGGGCTATAGCCACTGTATTTTAGATTCCAAAGTAAAACAGAAATCCACTGAATGAATACAAAATAACACAATTTTAACTGAAGTTTTTAAAAGATCATGATGATTGCTAAATAGAGAAAAAGTGGGGCAAGACTGGAAGTAGAGAAATCTCTTAAGAAATAACTGCAGTAGTTCAAGAACAAGATGATGGTACCTTACACTAGGGAGGGTGCTGACACGAGAAATTTTCCCCCACATATTTTTATTGTTGTTCAAAGTAGATAAATATGCATTTTGTTTTGGAGGTAGAATTGATTGGAAAAGTGCAAAGGTAGGGGCATTCCAGTTTAAAGTAAGAAGAAAAGCAGATGTTTGTAAAATGTCCAAAGAGATACATCCAATCGGAAACTGGACGTCTAAATAAGGACCTGGGCTGTAGTCAAAGTTGAGAACGATCACTGAACAGAGAGGAAAGTCATCAGAGTGTACAGCATCACCTAGAGTTCGGAGTGTAGGTTAAGAGAAGAAAAGGGTCCTGTAGCAAAGGCTAAGCATCACAACATTTAAATAGGGGTAAGGGAGAAAGAGAAGTAGGCAAAAGAATAAATTATCATTCATTCAGAGAGGTATGAAGGAAACAGAGATGGTGTACTTTCATAAGAGCAAGTGTTTCAAAACAAGAAAGTAAAATGATCATTTTTACCAGTACTACTAAGAATTCTCATGAAATAAAAACTGAAAAGTGTCCAGTGAATTTGGCAACATAGAGGTCATTGGTGCCCTTCCTTTAGCAAGAGCGGTTTGGACAGCGAGCTAGAAACAAAGGCAGATGGAAGGGAGATGGAAGTATTAATGAAGCAGAGTTCCATTAATGATGCAATTTAAGAGAAATGCAGCATCCCCACTCAGAAAATAGTATCACTCCAATTATTCAGATTAAACTTTACAGTAATATTTTATAGTTTTCTTCATATGAGCATCGAACCTTTATTTTTATATGTATTCTTGGTTGTTTTTAGTTTTCAATTATTGCAAGTGGGGAAAAAAAAGAAAGACAACTTCACCATATACATACACTCATACTGATAAGAATGGCTTTTCTAAAAAACAATGACCACATTTATCATTGTTATCAATGTGATGCTCATTTACATTTTATTTCTTCTATATTTTCCCTATGTTTTTAATATCTTCACATTTTGTTTCCATTGTTTCCACACTTTATTGGCTCGATTACTTTTTTCAGAATGTTAACTATGAGAAGCACAAAAAATTCAAAATCAATAATGCATACATTAACCAGCCAAAAAAGGAAGAGGGGAGCATAACTTACCATTTCTGAACTAGAACTGAAACAACTATCTGTTGGCCTTGGAGAGTAACCGGAAGACTGGCTACTCTGTGAAGATTCAAGAACTGAAAATAAAGGTTTAGTTTATGAACAATGGTATTTACTAATACTCTAGAAAATACATATATAAGCAGAAGATATTTGCTGGTAAAATTAAGTTTAGCTAATACACTGATAAGTTTAGCTGATACCCCCATGGAGCAGGTGCTTCCTGAGAATGGAAAGCAGAGTCCACAAAAGGGAATGTTAGAACTGCACCAATAACGTGATCTGAGGGCATTCCCCCACAGTAAGTTTACTCAATCCATAGGCAAAATAAACTCAGAGTCATGAGTGAGGAAGACAAATGTCTGCTGAATGAAGCCTTAATCATATGTGGAATCTAATGAACAAGCTGAACATGCAAAACGATAGACTCATAGATGGAGAACAGATGACAGCTAGTGGGAGGGAGGTTGGTAAGGAGAGATTAAGTGAAAAGGAAAAAGGACTCGTGGACATGGGCATCAGTGTGGTGATCGCTGGTGGGAACGGTGTATAAGGGGACTAAATGGTAATGGATAACATATAAGATGATCAAAAAATAAAGAGAGAAAATGCAGATCAAAATGTAAGTGCACTTCAACACTTCATGGAAGGCACTGCAATAGTTAGTAGGGATACGTGGCCATAATGCTCAAAGTATTCGGAATCTTACAGTAAAGAAAAACATATGTTTTTTTTAAATAGTCCCAAAATGAGGTGCAACAACACAAGTGATAGCAGGTACAAATGTAAAGGAAAGCCAAGTGTGACGAGCCAAGTGTTTCTCTAAGGAAAGAGGCACTGGGTGAACAGTCATAGAGAAAGCACAACTATAAAAAGTTGGTTTTGAAAGATAAACAGGAATCTTCCAGGGAGACGAGATGAAAAATAGTATATGGAATAGAAGGGGGGAAAGTGTAAGGACATACTTTAATGTTAAAGAAAGTTGTATTTTATATTATCTACAAAGGTCAGTTAGGAGATTAATTCAATAAGCTAGTTATGAAGCAATGCAGATCTGAAATAGAGTAACGAGGTGAAATTGGGTTGGAGAAGAGACAAAAGATTCAAATTTCAAGAAAACTTTCAAAAAGCCTTAATTTTTATATGTATGTAGGTTTAAAAATTTGTGTGCATCTATTATAACTTGAGTACCAAAATCTGAGAAAGATTAGACACATGCATATACACACACACTCAACAAGAAGAAATTACAACTGATACCACAGAAATTCTAAGGATCATAAGAAGCTACTATAAACAAATATACAACAACTACTGAACAACCTAGAAAAAACAAAAAATTCTTAGAAATATACAGTTTACCAAGGCTGAATCAAGAAGAAATAGAAAATCTGACTAGAGCAATTACTAGTAAGGACATTGAATCAGTAATCAAAAATCTTCCAACGAAGAAATGCTCAGAGCCAAACTGGCTTAACCAGTGAGTTTTATTAAACATCTGTAAATAATTAATACCAATCCTTTTTAACTCTTCAAAACAACAACAACAAAAAAAAAACAAGGAGGAAGAAACCCTTACAAACTCATTTTACAAGACCAGCATTATTCTGATACTAAAACCAGAAAGTAACAATACTAAAAAAGAAAACTATAAGCAAATATCTTTGATAGATGTAGATGAAAAAGTTCTCAAGGAAATACTAGTAATCCAAATTCAACAGCATATTAAAAGAAGTATTTACCATGACCAGGTGAGGTATATCCCTGGGGTGCCAGAATGGTCTGACACACATAAATCAACCCTTGTGATTCATCACACTAATAGAATAAAAGAACCATATGATCATCTCAATAAACAAAGAAAAGGCATTTGACAATATTCAACATCCATTCATGATTAAAAACTCGTAACAAATTAGGCACAGAAAGAACATTTCTCTACCTAATAAAGGCTCTATATGGCAGGCCCACAGATAGCATCATACTCAGTGGTGAAAGGTTGAAAGCTCTTCCTGAGATCAGGAACAAGACAAGGGTTCTTCACTTTACCTCTCTTATTCAGCATAGTATTAGATGTCCTAGCTTGAGCAATCAGGCTATTTTAAAAAAATTAATGAAAGGTATAAGCATTGGAAAGGAAGAAGTAAAACTGTATTTGCAGATGACATAATTTTATAAATGGAAAAAATTTAAGACTCAACCAAAAAACTGTTAGCTCTCCCCTGGCTGGTGTGGCTCAGTGGACTGAGTGCTGGCCTGCAAACCAAAGGATTGCCAGTTTGATTCCCAGTCAGGGCACATGACTGGGTTGCAGGCCAGGTCCCCAGTATAGGGCACAGGAGAGGCAATCACACATTGATGTTTCTCTCCCACTCTTTCTCCCTCCCTTCCCTTCCCTCTAAAAGTAAATAAATAACATCTTTTAAAAAAAAGATATAAATGGAGAGTTCACAGAAAAAGAAATGCAAATAGCCACTTAGCATTTCTTTTTAAAAACGCTGGGCTTCACTCAGATAGAATGCAAACTCAAACTTCTATCTTTATAAGATTCACAATTACTAAATTTGGCCACAGTCCTCTTGTTGAGGCTGTGGAATAAAAGGTTCCATTTCTGACCTGGCTGGCGCAGCTCAGTGGCTTGAGCGCAGGCTGTGAACCAAAGCATCGCAGGTTCGATTCCCAGTCAGGGCACATGCCTGGGTTGCAGGCCACAGCCCCCAGCAACCGCACATTGATGTTTCTCTCTCTCTCTCTTTCCCCCTCCCTTCCCTCTCTAAAAATAAATAAATAGAATTTTAAAAATTTTTTTAAAAAAGGTACCATTTCTGGTCGAACTGCCAAATGGTACAACAAGGAATTTGGCAATGTCTACAAAAAAAAGTACATTAAGACTAACTTTACATTGTTGAGAGATTCTGCACCTTTAAGTAAAACACATAATTAAACCAATTACACCACAGGCTAATTAACAAAAACAAGAGTTAACAATCTTACAGCAAGCATCTCAGCTACATTTTACCAAAACGACACTGAATGAAACAATGCTATTCTAGGATCCTGCCGTGTTTCCCCTTTGACTCAACAATCCTACTCCTAGAAATTACCCTGATAATGCACCTCCACAATTAAGTAATATATGCACAAAGTTGTTCAGTGCAGCATTATCTGTGTTCAAATTAAAACTATAAATTATTACACCCATATCATTACCCTACCATCCACATTCAAGCAGGTGTTACTTGTGCCAGACCCTGTATATAAAAGACACATTTAATAAGGAAAGCCAAAATTCCTAAAAGAAACATGGACAAAAACCATGAAAGGAATTTCACAGATGACACATGGATAGCCAGTCAACCTAATTAATAATCAGGGAAGTATATATTAAAATTACAATGAGATAGAGCGCCAATAATGATAGAAAGCTAACCCAGTGAAAATGTGACTATGTAACAGCTAGGACTCTTACCTCTTGCTGGCAGAAGTTTAAACTGGCACAACTACTTTGGAAAACAATTTTGCATTACCCAGAACAAGTGAAGATGTGTATATCTTATGAACTAGCCAATTCTACTCCTAGAACTACATACCCTAGAGGAACTTTTTATACATGTATGCCAACAGAAATGCCAAGAACTGCCAAAGTAGCATTGTTTATCATAGTGAAATATTCAAAACAGCCGAAATAATCATTGCCAGACAATGTACAAATAAAGTATGGTACTTTCATATGAGAGAAAGCTGTATAGTAGTGAACTTAATTAAAATTACTAGAATCAGGAGTTTCAAAGTAGATGAACCTGAAAATACAGGGTCTGGTAGAAGTAAGGCCTGCTGGAGTGTGGTTGGTAGGATAACAACATGAGTGTGGTGATTTATAGTTTTAATTTGAACATTTCACGTAAAATGTCACATGGTGTGCTTGAGTGTGATATTGCTATGTTACAGAATTACAGGCTTATGATTTTGTAATAAAAGATTTTATAGTAAAAAGGGGGGGCATTATTTGTGCTGGACCCTGTATATTACTGGAAAACAAAAAAAATTCAAGTTGCAGAAAAATAGAGCTTGCCTCAATTTGTAGAAAGTTCAAAACCAAGCAATGTAAAAGTCTATGTGTGATATCACAAAAATCAAATTCAGGATAATAGTTACCTCTAGAGGGCAGGATAGGTAATGCAACTGAGAAGATCTTCAGAAGCATTGGTTATGCATTACTTTAAAAAAAAAATTTAATCTTTATTGCATTTTTTTCCATTACCATAGTCCCCTTATCAAACCTCCCCCCAGAAAACACCATATTGATGTCCATGTCCATGAGTCCTTTTTCCTTTTTATGCATTATTTCTTAAACTACAAAATTACTATAAAGATATCTGTTTTATTAGTATTTGTTAAATTGTACATATATAATATATATTGATCATGTATAGTATATTTTACCAAAAAGTAAAAGTAATTTTAAAGTCAATTTTCTTACTAGTATATTCTAAGTTAACCATGAAACATATATGCTAGCAAAAATCTATAAAAAATTTTTTAACTGATTTCAATTAAATTTAAGTTTTTAAAAAAGAATAAAAGTCACCTACTGTTATACTGACCATTTTTCTTTGTAGATGTTGGCATCACTTTCACCGAATTTAAACCCCCTTCTTCCATCAGATTCTAGAAGAAAAACAAAATTTTAGTAACTTTCAAGTATACACAATTACACTTACAGTTCCCTTTTAGTTCCACCAATTCATTTCTACAGTACTTCCTTCATATTACTTTAAATGAACAAAGATGATCTGTTTTAAAATTAGCCTGTGATGAACAACAAATGAAATAAAATTAAAATTGCTTCAGAAACACAAGCAGAAGAATAAACACTTGCTAAGAAATTAATTACTGACAAACAGAAAAGGCTTCAGATAGTCATAGTAAACGCAGATGGAAAAGACAAAGACATTAAGCAATTTGGAGATTTATTGTTATTCCCTTTCAAAATTTTGTTGTTGTTGTTCAAGTACAGTTTCCCCCCCTCCACACACCACACCCCCCCAGTTCCCCATCCTCGCCTCCCACCCTGGATCCTAACGCCTTTGGCTTTGTCCTTTACTCATGTTCCTTGTCCCTTTCACATTTCTTAAGTTAAATAGCAGTTTATTTATTTTCAGGGTTTTTTCAATACAAGGTTTTATAGGTATAAATTTTATGTAGAACACACCATTGGTTTTATTTTCCATTCACTTCTATATATTTTGTAACTTATTTTTATTCTTTTTCTTTTTTAAAACAGAATGTTTCTTAATTTAAAAGAAATAAGTAAGGTTAAGCATCATTTTTTGTTGATTTCTAATAAAATGAGGTTTTATTAGAGAATGTGGCTATGAAGCACTGCTCAGGCTCTTAAACTTTAACGCTTACTACATGAATTATGTTTGCAAATGTACCATGAACTTACAGAAAATACATATTCCCTGTTGGTGGGATGTAGAGCAGTAGATAGATAGGCGGGATAAGGAGGAAGATGTCTAGCTGTAACCACACCAGTTTTCCTTTCCTCTTAGGCATACAACTACAACAGACTGCATTTCCTATCCTCCCTCAGAGCTGGTTTGGACGTGTGAGTTAAGTTTTGGTCATGGGCAGAAGTGGTATACACCACTGCCAATCCTGGCCCATGCAAATACTCCACAATCCTCTACTTCCTTTGCCCTTCTGCTTTCTGATATCAGCATACTCCACTACAAATGTGGAAACCACCAGTTAGCGTCCCTACCAACTTGAGGCCCTAAATAACTTTAAGCAGTAGAGCCTCTTCTCTGACCTCACTATTCAATCATTTTTAAGGTCTTGTACATTCAACTTTTTAAAAAAATTTCAATCCCCAAACTTGCAGCAAGCACACACAAGCTAAGAAAGCTATACAGACTCCACAGCTAGTAACACTCCTATACTTACTTCAGATCTGCTGACAGAGGGAAACAGACAAAGAGGAGCACCCCAAAGAGAAGAAAGGAATTGTTCAAGGAATTTCCCCATTCTCAAGGACAGCAAGCTTCATGGTGCCTGCCCAGCAGGATGTCATAACTGGTACGGGTCAGTAACTCCGTATCTCCTCTTTTCTGAACAGGCGTTCATACTGTACTTGCTCCAACACTACACAGTATACTTTCTTAATGTGTATCTTTTGCTATCTTTTTATTTTCAACCTTAATTATTATTTTCTACCTGTTTCTTGAAAAATATATACAGATTATTTGTTCTCAATTTAGTATTTTTTGAATCCTGATAAGAAAACTCACTCCTTTGTATTTAATCTGTTAATTGCTAAGCCAATTTCATTCTTTACATTTTGTTTGCCATTTATGTAGAAGTGTAATTTCATTTTTTTCCTACCTTGATCAGGTTTTCTAGTGTGACACCCCCACTCCTTTGAACTCTGAAGTTCTTCTATGTGTCATTTCTCCAGTGAAGAAATTACTATTTAAACAATCATTTTTGAACCTTTTTCCTCTCCTACTTTAAAATTAAATGTGTTCCAGTTCAAGATGGTGATGTAGGAGGATCCTGAACTCACCTCCTCCCACAGACACACTGAATATACAGCTACATAGCGAACAATTTCCTCTGGAAAAACCCAAAATCTAGCTGAAAGACTCTTTCCTACACACTGAGTGAACAAGAAAAAACACAAATCAAAATGGGTAGTAGAGGCTGAGACACAATTTCACCATAAACATCACCCTATGCATGGCAACCCACAATCAGGAGAGAACCCACAAATCCAAGTTTCTCCCTGAAAAGTAAATAGTTTGGACTTCACACTGGTATCCAAATTTTTAAGACATGCACTTGAGATGAGACCCCCAAAACATCAAGCTTTGAAAGCCAACAGAGCTTGTGTTCACAAGACCCGCAAGCTACAGCAAACTGAGAAATAGTTCTTAAAAGGCTCATCCAGGCTCACCATAGCTTCCCACCCCCAAAGCCTACAGCAGAGGCAGCCCACTGACTTTCTGTGTGTGTGTGTATGGGGGGATCCTATTAGCTTATCTTCACAGCTGTAGTCTGGCAGGCTTCTAATTAAACTTACATCTAAGGGCCGACTATAATCCTCTCTAAATATCACTGAGTCTGGGAGCTATTTTTGCACTCTCCCGCTACCTCATTCCAGGTTGCCAGTATCTCCCAAAAAGGAGCTTGGGCATATGTCTGGTGTCCCAGTTTTTGTGGCTGCTGACCATGGATCATCCCTTGATCACCTCACTCTGGTAGCCAATGGGGCACTGATGAGTCCCACAGAACTATAAGAAACAAAGAAAGAGTTCTTAACTGGCTACCCTCAGGGAACAGCACAGAAACTGCAACAAACCCCCAATCATTCAATGAAAGAGGCCTATTAGTTTATCTTCATACCTGTGGCCTGAAAGGCAGGCTTCTAATTAAACATACATCTAAGGAGCAAATGCAATCCTCTCCAGAGACCAGAAAGGCCAGCGGGTACCCTCTTCATGCTCTCCTCTGCCCTCCCTAGATCTCCAGTGTCACCAAAAAAGGAACAGGGGCACACATCTGGCATCCAGCTTTGGTGGCTGTTTCCCAGAAGACACATCTGTTGACGGCCTGACTCTGGTGGCCAGCAGAGCTTGTGTTCACGGGTTCAATGGGATGGCAGCAAACAATGAAACAGTTCTTAACTGGCTATCACATCAGGACTCAACGGAGAGGAAGCTGATAGAACTGCCCATGTCAGAGTGTATTCGCATACTTACAAACAGATTTCTGTATGTGCCTAAGGGGCCAGTTTCCAATCAGACTGAGTCTGGGTGCTACTTAGAATGCCCCCACTGGGAGGTACTGGCATACCCTAAACTACAAAAAGCCACTAAAAATAAAGTAGGTTGCCTGGACAATCACAAAGCTTTGAGAGACCACCAAGAGGTAGGGCAGGGTTAAAATACAAAGTTTATTTCCTACACAGACCCAATCCTTTTAGGTGAGGTGGCTGCTTCACCTAGTGCATACAAACTAACGAAGCAAGTCAAAGAAAATGAAGAAATATAAGAACATGTTCCCAACAAAAGAACAAAATAAAGCCTCAGAAAAAGATCTTAAAAAATAAAGTTATTTATCTGATAAAAGTTCAAAATAAAGATGTTCACACAGGTTAAGAGAACAACACATGAACAAAGTGAGATTTTTAACAGAGACAGAAAATATGAGAGAGCACCAAACAGAAATCACATAGTAAAGAATGTAATCACTAAACTGAAAGATGCAACAGAAAGGTCAACAGAAGACTAGATGAAGCTGTGGAAAGGTTCATCAAACTTAAACACATGGCAGTGATATTTATCCAATCAGAGGAGCAAAAAGAAAAGAAAAAAAGTGAATATAGCATACAGCACTTATGGACCAATACTAAGTAGCCCAACATTCACATTATAGGGATCCCAAAAGGAAAAGGAGAGAAAGGGCCAGAGAACTTATGTGAAGAAATTATGACTGAAAACTTCCCTAACCTAGGAAAGAAAACAGACACCCAGATCCAGGGAGCCTACAAAGTATTATGTAATATAAATCCAAAGAAGCCCTCACCAAACACATTATGCTTAAATTATCAAAAGTTAAAGATAAGAAGATAATCTGAAAAGCAGCCAGTGAAAATCAACTTGTTATGTACAAGTGATTCCTCAAAGGACTATAAGCAGATTTTTCATGTGACACTTTCCAGGCGAGAAGGCAATGACGTGATACATTCAAAATGCTAAAGGAAGTGAATGCTAAACATGAATACTCTATTGGCCAAACTGTCCATCAGAACAGAAAGAGAGATACAGAGATTCCAAGAGAAGCAAAAACTAAAGGAGTTCATCACCACTAGACTGACCTCACAAGAAATGTTAAAGGGACTTCCTTAAGCCAAGAGAATTGAGCACAAATTAGTAATCAGAAAATATATAAACATACAAATATCACTAGTAAAGGTAAATATATTGTAAAATTTAAAATACTCTAATGTTGTAAAAGTGGTGGGTTAACCATTTATAAAGCTAGTATGAAGGTTGAAAGACAAAAGTAATAAAAATAACTACAATAATTTATTAATAGATACACAAGATAAAGAGATATAAGTTGTGATATCAAAACATAAAATGTGGGAGAAAAAAAAATGCAGAGCTTTAGAATACATTTGCTTAAGTATTACCAACTTAAAATAGACTGCTATAAATATGTTGTTTTTACATAAGCCTCACACTAACCACAAAGCAAAAATCTATAGTAGATACACAAGAGGTAAAAAGAAATCTAAAGCATACCACTATGGAAAATCAACAAAACAAAAAGAGAGCAAGAAAAAAGAACCCAAGGAATTACAAAACAACAAGAAAACAAGGAACAAAATGCCAATAAGTCCATACCTATCAATAATTACTTTAAATGTAAATGGTCTCAACCCTCCCATCAAAAGATATAGAGTGGATGGATAGATTTAAAAGAAAAAAAAAACAAGACTCATTTAGATGAATCCTTCTTTTCTACTAGTGATTTAGAGACCCAGTCCCTCTCATCTTGTGGCTCCAAATATCCCTTAGGGCTTCACTGCCCTCTAGCCACTAAAAGCATAATGTTAGAAAAGGAATCCTCACTTCTTACAATTTTTGAAAAGCTGCATCTCACTTCTGGTAACATTACATTATGGAGATCTAGCTATAAGGCAGCACTTGGATAGAAGATTAGGAAATATGTTTTCTTGGCTGGACAGCCATTTCATAGTGACAGCTTTATGCTATCAAGTATGGTACATGAATGTCAGGAAACAGTTTACCTTATCTACAGCCTCCTCCTGGGTTTTCAGCCTTGGTGAGTGGCGCCAATCCGTCACAACCCATTTGTTCCCCCAAATCATAAATCCAAGTCTTCAATTTTTTTCCCTTCTCCCTTAAACTAATCATCAATTCCTATCAAATATGCATCTTCAAAATATTTTTATTGCTCTTCCCTCATTTCTATCCTTTCTGCAACTGGTCAAGTTCAAGCCCTCATTATTTTTGACCCTGCCTTCAGTCTTGCCACTTCTCAAATCTCATCTCATTGTTGATAAGGTATGACTTTGTAATACTCCAATGTCATCTTACTCCTCTACTAAAAATTTTTCAGGGGCCTTTTTTCTGTTTAGTGATAGGAAATTAAACTATTATGTGTCATATAAGGTCTTTTATGACCTAGCCCTTTATATTGTCCAAAATTATTTACCGTCCCCCTCCCCCTTGCAATTTATACTACAGTAGTAGCAATAACAGTAACTAAAATTAAACAAATTACTTGCAGTTTCTAACACTCTAACATCTCAGTTTCTATCAGTGTTGTTCCTTCTTCATAGGATGAAAGCATTTTGTCCATTTGTTGAGATTATTAATTAATACCCACATGAAAAGTTTTCTCCTCTATTATATCTTCCTCCAACTACCCATGAAATTGAGAAGTGTCTTTTACTAGGCTCCCACTCACTTTTGTACGAACTCCAATTGGAGCACTTCATTAAAATGCATTTAATTTTTTTCTCTTTCTGAAGCTACTAGATTATAACTTCTTAAAGACAGGTTCCATATCCTTTCATCTCTGTACCTTTCAGAGGCTAGTGCTTAACAGAATATAAGATTCATGAGAACTACAACTTTGTTTTCTCAACTCTATATCCAGTGACTAGAACATAGAGAACACTCAATAAATACCTATTAAATGAATTTATAATTGACTCAATTCATATTTATTGAAGATTAAAACAGAAAACAACTAGTAGAGTTAAAAATTCAGAGTCAGATGACAAGAGTTTGAATCCTGGCTCAAGTGTGTGACTTTGAATTAGTTATTTAATCTCTCTGAGCTTGAGTCTCTTTTGCTGTGAATGCTTAGTTACAGGATCAGGCTCTTATAGATTAACATACATAAAACACCCAGCACAATGCCTGGACTTAAAACAATCACATACCCTAATTACGAGCAAGGGTTACAACTTCCATAACCAACATTTATAGAGGTTTCAATATTCCTAAATGTATCAACATGTTCCCCTGTAGCACATTGAAACTTAAAGCATTTCCATCTTGTAAGAAATTTTCTAGGATATCAAAATAATTTTAAGTGTACCTATATTGGTCTGTCTCAAATAAAGCACATTACAGTTTCTGAAAATGTGTTAATTTTATTTCTAGATCTAAGCTATAATTGCCTCAGAGTATGAAAATATTTTTTAAGCAGAACCTACAAAGAAAGTTTTGATAAAAACTAACCTTAAATCAAAATAAACTGCAAATACTAAAATATAAAATGATAATATAACTGAATTAATTAGAAAGATAATGTAAGATGTACATTACCTTGCCAAGTCCAAAGTCCCATGATTTCTTAGAATGCAGTTCTTCCAAAGAGACATTGCTCCTAAGAGTCATAAATAAGACAGCATTACGGTTTGCTTTATTCTCTCTGAAAATTATTGTTCTAAATTATGGTTCCCAAAATTAGATGCAAATCAGGATTATAAGAGAAGCCTCAAAAAAAAATAGACTCAAAGCTTTACCTGAAGGAGCCTATTTATTATTGGCACCAAACTTGCTATTTTGCATTATAAAATCACTGCAAGTGACATGGGTTTAGCCAGGATTAGGAACCACATTATAAATCATTTTTATAAAGGGCATCGTATTCATTTCTTTTTTAACCCCAGCAGAGGACATGCTTATTGATTTTTTTAGAGAGTGGGGGAAAGGAGGGAGGAAGAAAGGGAGAGAAACATCATTGTGAGAGAGAAACATCAACTGATTGCCTCTCCTACCTGCCCCAATCAGGAACTGACCCTGCAACCCAGACTTGTGCCCTGATCCAATTGAACCCTCAACACTTTGGTTCATGGAACGCCACTCCAACCAACTCAACCAACTGAGCCATGTACTCCAGGGCATAAGGTATATTTTAAAATTCAAAGCCTAACATGTTGTTTCACATTCATAAATCTTTGGATATCTGGAGATTTGCAAAAGAACTCATTTGTTGATTTTATTAAATAAACTATCAATCTATGCTTTAATTAATTTCTTATGCCAATCCCATCCATAAGAAAATATTTCAAAAATAAAAATCTATTCTAGTTCATGATTTTCAATTAGCAACATTTGACTAAATCATCATTATTACCAAGAAAGTTAGGACTACCCTGAAACTACAAGTTTTCTTTAATTACATATAACTGCAGTGTAATAAACTACGGATGCTTCTGTATGCCATTAACATTTGAAATCTATTCATTCCTTGTTCTGATTGGTAATAACCAAGTCACCTTCCCATGGAGGGCTGTCAAAAATTAGAAAATATGCTTACTAGACTTTCAGTCAAGATGGCAGCATGGGCAGACACAGCTCACCTCTTCATGCAACCACATCAAAATTATAACTAAAACATAGAACAACCATCACTCAGAACTGTCAGATACTGAGTTAAATAGAAGTCTGACAACTATGAAATTAAAGAAACCACATCCATCCAGACTGGTAGGTGGGGCACAGACTCAGAATGGGCTGGTCCCTCACACATGTGTGAGGGATAAAAATTTGGGTGGGATATCTCCAAAGTAAGGAGCCCCAGCCCCACACCAGAGACCCTAGCCCAGGATTCCATGCTATGAAGGTGAGTCCCCACAAAAACCAGCATGGACAGAGTCAGTGGAAAAAACTTCTGCAGCCCCAAGCAGTTCCTCTTAAAGAACCTACACATGGACTCACCTACTCAGACTCACTCCCTCTGAGTTCCAGCACTGGGGTAGCAGCTTGAAAGGCACCAGTGACACGGGGAGAAATTGAAGTGTCTGGCATCAAGGCAAGGAGAGGCCATCGTTCCTTTGCTAAAACCTTCCCCCACAGAGCCAGCAGGCTGGTGCCATATCTGAGACTAACCAGGCTAACAGTGTTTGTCTGGCCTTGGAGATCCCCAAGGACTTTGCCCCACCCAACTTACAGGCCCACCCAAGCTGCTTTTCCAAAAGAATGGACAGTCTTGGCTCATGCTTCACAACTTCCTAAATCTGATCAAATAAACAACAGCTGGTGTCAGTGAGCCCCAGGCCTGGCACTAGCAGCAGCCAGCCTAGATTCACAGCTTGACTTTACCTGGGAATCTCCAAGCCCAGCACAAGTAGCAGCCATCTCAGATTGCTTTACAGCTCAGGCAGAGAGGCCCTGGGCAAAACACAGGTGGGGGCTGACTTTGGCCTGCACCACCTGGGAAACCCCAGGGCTAGTGCACCCAGGGGACAGCTCCAGACCACTTCAGAGCACCTCCACCCTGCCCCTGCACAGCTGATCCTCCATGGAAGGCAGAGGTTGGTGGTAAGTGGTCACAGGCAATTCTTGCAGCTGACTGGCCTGGGTAAATCCCTCCTATTGATCTGCCAACAGCAACGAAGGCTCAAGTACAAGAGGAGGGTGTACTCATCCCACACAAATGACACACCTTGAGTACCCAGCTTGGGTGATAGGGGAGGCTGTGCCACTGGACCCTATAGTACATCTACTACATTAGACCACACTACCAAGACATGGAGTCAAAGCAGCTCTACCTAAAACATAAACAAACACAGGGAGGCTGCCAAAATGAGAAGACAAAAAAACATGGCCCAAATGAAAGAACAGATCAAAAGTCCAAAAAAAGAGCTAAATAAAACACAGATAAACAATCTATCAGATGCAGAGTTCAAAACACTGGTAATAAGGATGCTCAAGGAACTTAATGAGGACCTCAACAGCATAAAAAAGATCCAGTCAAAAATGAAGGATACACTAATTGAAATAAAGAACAATTTCAGGCAAACAAAGTAGAGTGGATGAAGCCAAGAATCAAATCAATGATATGGAGCATAAGGAAGCAAAAAACCACCAATCAGAAAAAGAAGAAAAAAGAATCCTCCCCCCCCCAAATGAGGATAGTATAAGTAGCCTCTTGGACAACTTCAGGAGGTCCAATATTCACAACATACAGGTTCTAGAAGGAGAAGGGAAAGAGCAAGAAATTGGAAATCTATTTGAAAAAAATAATGAAAGAAAACTTCCCTAATTTGGCAAAGGAAATAGACATGCAAGTCCAAGAAACACAGAGAGTCCCAATCAAGATGGATACAAAATGGTCCACTACAAGAAACATAATTAAAATGCTAAAGGTTAAAGATAAAAAGAGAATCTTAAAAGCAGCAAGAGAAAAGCAGTTAGTTACCTATAAGAGAATTCCTATAAGACTGTCGGCCGATTTTTCAAAAGAAACTTTGCAGGCTAGACTGGATTAGCAAGAAATACTCAAAGTTATGAAAAGCAGGAACTTACAGCCAAGACTGCTCTACCCAGGAAAGATATCATTTAGAATCAAAGGGCAGATAAAGAGCTTCCAAGACAAGAAAAAAACAAAAGGAGTTCATTAGCACAACAAATGTTAAAGGGGCTTATTTTAAAAAAAGATCAAAACAATGAACAATAAAATGGCAAAAATACATATCTATCAATAATTGAATCTAAAAAACAAATAGGGAACAAGAAGAACTAAGACAGAATCACGGATATAGAGAGCATTCTGATGGTTGCCAGATGGGAGGGCGGTTTGGGGGAATGCGTGAAGAGGTGAGGGTATTAAGAAGTACAAATAAGTAGTTCCAGAATAGCCATGCGGATGTAAAATACAGTACAGGAAATACAGTACTAAAAGAATTTGTATGCATAACCTACAAACATGAACAATGTTGGGGGGATTACCTAAGGGAGTGGAGGGTACTGGGTGGAGGGGGCTAAAGGGGTAAAAAAATCAGGACAACTGTAATAGCATAATCAATAAAATAAAAAGAAAATATGATTATTATACCAGTTAGCATTCCTATACATGCAATCCTTCTATTTCTTACTGTAAATTAATAAATTAATATTCTGGAGGGTATATAAGTATCTTGAACTATGTGTTCACGTCAAGTTTTCTCAAATTTAATTAACATCAAAATTCAGGTGAAAAGATACCATTGCCCTGGCAAATATGAGAACTATATACTCAAGCAGGGTGATATAATTAAGAATCTGACACTGGTAATCCTTTGAAGGCAGCCTGCCTAGCCTCAGACAACAATATGCCTACCCCACTCAGCATCAATTCAACCTTCAACGTGTATTACACTAAATTCTGATTTGCATTCCTCGGATTTACCTAAAAACTTACATAGTGTTCACCGGATATTTCTCAATTTCTATCTGTGTTGTCTTCTCTTGGTAGTCCCTTTGAAATTTTCCTTTAAAAATAAAAATATGCATTGAACTAAAACTTAAGAATAAACTATTTCTGTTTTTTAATTAGAAGCCATTTAGTATGACCCAAATAGAGGGAAATGCCTGTCCACAATGTCATTCTATGTTTAATTTCATAGTCCTCCAAATACACACACAAATACACACACATACACACAAAACTGAAAACAGAAAAACCCAACAGACTAGTACATTTTCCACCTTTAACACCAACCTTTTTTTTCATAGCTGGCTAGACAGCAATCCTTCTCAAAAGATGTACTAGGATTATTCCCCTCATTATAGTTGTACTCATTCTGATCATTCTTGTTTGGCTCACACTTTTGCAGATAACTTATTTTATTAAAGCCGGAACTATTAAAATTCAACTCTGGATCTGTAAAAATACTTCCAATGCATCTCTCAGAGAGACAGTTTTCATCAGAACTGGTAAGCACACAAATATCTCTCTCATAACCACACTTGTCAAATGGTTTTCTTATGATCTGTTGATCTATTTTTAATAGATTGTTCACATTTTCATTAATAAAAGAGTTAAAATTCTCTGACAGAAGGCCAGGGGTTGGCTGGTTCACAACTTCAAAAAAATTTGAAATGTCTTTCCTATTTTCCTCCCAAATATGTTGTGTGGATTCTTTTTCAGCAATGAAGTCTGAGTGTCTTCTCTTATCCATGCTTCTACCATCTTCACCCGTAACAACAGCAGGTCTTCCAGTGAGGAAATTCCTACTTCCTGGACTTTGGGGTAAATAAAATCATATTTAGCAAGACAAGCATTTTCATTTAGAAACTCTTAAATTCTGAGAAAAGACATTGAGTAGCTAGTAACATTTGCCTAGATTTTGTTTTTATTTTTCAAATTTAAATAAATAATATCACTTTGGGTGGAAATTTGTCTATTGCACTTATAATGCCTTAGTGAGTATAAAATAAACTACAGTTAGTTTAGTATCTCAATATGCAAAATCATTATGTGGTTCAATTTATTGTTATATTAACAAAACATGACCAAACTCTAGTATATCTTCTGTAATAACATCTAGCAAATAACCTAGAAAACCACTACTATGTCACTGATGTTCCATTTAACCAGAGAAAGATGTTTTTAAGACTGCACAGAGAAAAATTATACTCAGTGTTAAAATATTAAATCAAATAGTTATGAGGACAATATAATAGATTTTTCTCAACTGAACAAAAATATAAAAACAACTCTGATGTCCCCAAGGAAGAACAATAAAAATACAAATGCATATATAAGTAATAAAGCCAAGAGATAAGATGAATTAGATGAAATGGTTAAACCAGATAATGTAGTTCCCTTCTATTGCAGAAAAATCATAACTCTAGGTTATGTTCAACCTGTACAAAAAAATCAAAGGTACCATAGAAAATAATTATAAACCAAGATATTCTGGACTCTGTTGCCATTGGCTACCTATAATCAGTTAGGGTTAGGTTGTTTCAGAGATTACAGGTACAAAAAAATCTTAGAAAAGAAACATAGACTGCTATAACTAACTGATTTCTAATTCTATTTTTCAAGTTACTTCTTAAATATTTAATGAACGGTCACATCTGCTGTGTTCCAGACAGTACACCACATGTTGAGGATAGAGAGATAAAAGAATTCAGTTTGGTATTAAAGGAAAGAAATGTTTTGCCCATGAATATTCACAGGTCATGGTCCTACATTGTTTCTCAATATGGATGTCATCAGTGTTTATGACAGAATAATGCTATTCTGTTATGTATAGACATGAACATGTATAGACATGCATAAAAAGAAGTAAGCACGTACCAGAGGGATGGAATAATAAGAACCAATGCAAAGTTTGCAGTATGTTTGAGAAACAAAAAGAAGAGAAATAAAGTTAGAATAGAAACAGTGAAAGGAAACTTGTGACCTGTCTTAAAAGGTACAAAAGGGCCAGATGATGCACAACTTTATTTGGAGAAAAACAGTAAGAAGTTCTAAGTATAAAAGTAAAATTAACTTGTAAAATATCAGCCTGATTGCTGAGTGAATATGGATTTCAGGACTTCCATCTGCTGAAAATGAAATAAGAGTGAACAGATTTATCCTGCTTCCTGACACAGTTAAAAAAAAAGAAAAGAAAAATATATTAAACAATGGTTTTCAGATACAAGCCAGCCACCGGGTAGAACAGCATAATGATGTCTGAAAGAGAGGAAACAAATGAGGTGAACCCTATGATTTCTCCTAGTTCACTGCCTGGAGAGAGTATTCAAGCCACACAATGGGGAGGGAATACCCAGTCAGAGGCTACAGACTGCCTTTGTTGAGGACATAGAGCTTGAGATTCAGAGAAACACTAGATGATACAGCTCACAGGGCAGAGTACTGTGAAGGCAAGTGCTACAAAGAAGGAGCTCCAGAGATCTTCAGAGAATTCTCAAATCTCCAGGTCAGTACTGATCAGCACATGCATATGAGGTAATTATCCAAGGCTGGTAAAAGAAACACCCACGGTGAGAAGTCTGAACAATTCTAGGAGCTCACACAGTGATGGGAAAAACTCTGTGTTCCCACCAGCAAGAGTAGAAAGCCTTATAATTCAAAAAGAAATCAGAGAGGACTCAGAAAGGTATTGTCTTAGCAGGAGACAGAATTAGCCATAGACTGAAGACATATCTCGTTCCATTTAGCAAAGTTTGCATAATCTATGCAAAATGAAATGAGAAAAAAATTAAAAAAAAGCATCAGTAAACTGTGACACAACTTCAACTGAGCTAATTTACATGTGACTTGAGTCCCCAAGAGAAGGAGAGAGAAATCAGACAAAAAATATTTGAAAAATTAATAGCTGAATTTTTTCCAAATTTGATAAAAATAGTAAGTCCACAGATCAAGATTCTCAACACAGCATAAACACAAGAAGTAAAATGAAAATGACATCCCAATCATAGGATAGAAATCCATAGTAGAAAATCCATGACAGAAAAATCTTAAAAAAAAAAAATGAAAGATATATATTATATATACAGATATTAAGAAAGAATGGCAGTGGCCTGGCCAGTGAGGCTTGGTTGGTTGGAGCATCATCCTGTACACCAAAATGCTGTGGGTTCTATTCTAAGTCAGGGCACATACCTAGGATGTGGGTTCAATCTCCAGTCAGGGCATATATGTAAGGCAATCAGTCAATGTTTCTCTTATACTCTTTACCCCTTCCTCTCTCTCTAAAGCAATGAAAAAATGTCTTCAGATGAGGATAAAATAATTTAAAAAAATAAGAATGATAGCCAACTTCTAATTAAAAACAATGAAAGTCAAAAGACATCTTTTGAAAGGAAGACAATAAAGATTTGCAAATATACAAAAGATGAAAGAATTACCAGAAGAACCATACTACAAGAAATATTTAAAGAAAATCTTCCAAGCAAAAGAAAAGTGTCACCAGACACTTTTCTAGATGGAAATCTAGATCCATATAAAATAATGAAGACCATCAAAAATGAAAAATGTGTGCTTATGTACAAAAAAACATGTTCTATAGTGCTTTTAACTCTGTGTAAAGCAAAAAAGAATGTATTGTTGGTATAAAGCAAAAAGAATGTATTACTGGGTTTTCCAGTCAAATGGTAAAGTAGATAAATTCTGTGCCCACCTCTTCTCATGGTCACATCAAATTAAAACTAAATTATAGAATACCCATCACTGAGAACCCCTGCAGACCAGCTAGACAGAATTCCTATAACTAAGGATATAAAGAAAAAGCCATGCCCTGGCCAGGCGGCTTAGTTGGTTGGAGCACTGTCCCATGCACCAACAGCTGCAGGTTCAATCCCCAGTCAGGGAACATATGGGAGGCAATCGGTTGATGTTTCTCTCACTCTCTCTCTCTCTAAAATCAATAAAACACATCCTCAGGTAAGAATTTTTTTTTTAATTAAAGAAAAAGCCTTGTCAAAACTGGTAGGACAAACAGGCAGGACAAACACCCATGGTATGGCAACTAAGAGTCAGGAGGGACATCTCAGCTGCAGAGATTCCCAAAGGGTCCCAGCCCCACACCTGGCCCCCCAGCCCAGAGCACCAAGGCTAGGAAAAGAAGTCCCCATAATATCTCGTTGTGAAAATGAACGGGGAGTGCCTCTGTGAAAAACAAAGGGCTGCAGGAGACCAAAGCATGCTGTTCGTAGCACACAAATTCACTCACCCAAAACTCACTCACTCTAAGCTCCAGCACAGGGGCAGCAGGTCAAAAAGCACCAGGGACATATGAGGAGACACTAAATTGACTATTAAATTGACTATCTTCAGGGTGAGTGCTAGAGAGACAAAAGTTAGGGCAACTCTCTCCAAGTGATGAAAGCTCTGGCAAATGCCATTGCTCCCTCAGTGAGCTCTCCACTCACCCAGCCAGTGCAGCACAGGGGTAAGCCAAATCTGTGCTCTCCATTACACTGACTACCACCATTCTCCCTGGCCCCGTGATTCCTTGAGACCCCACCCACCACACTCCCCAGGCCCAAACTTCTACCAGTGCTTCCTCCACACAGTCTGTCTCAGATTGTACTGCAGGCTTTTCCCAAAATCTCTCAAAGGTACACAAACCAAAGGGGGTGCTCTGTAGTTCTTCCTAGGTGGCCCCAACAGAGCATGAGTGGTGACACATCTCAACTTGCATTGTTAACTCCCATCAAGTGGCCCCAAACAAAAGCAGTGGCCAGTCTTGGTCTGAAAGTTCCATCTAAGTCCAACACTAGTGGCAGACAGCCTCGGTTCACACCACAGCTCTCCAAGCCCAGCACAAGCAGCAACCAACTGCAAATCAGCTAGTGAGTCCTACCAGGCAGCCCTAGGTGTGACACAAGCAGCTGACCCTGGCTTACACCTGTGCACTTCCCAGTATACTCCAGACCCAACATATCCAGTGGAGGGCTCAGGTCACATCAGAACACCAAACAGTTCCACAAATGACACACTCAAAGAGGAAATTCAGCTGGTACCACGGCCCCACTAAAGCAATTCACACTCTATGGAATCATCCCCCTTACAACACCTAGCCCACTGGAATGACAGCCTGTCCCCACAGCCAGTCAGCTTGTGGGTAAACCCCACCCACTGACTGCCAGTAGTAATTATGGCCCAACTAGAATAGGGGGGCACTCAACCCACACAGGGGACAACCCTAGAGCACCAAGCTCAAGTGACCAGGGAGACTGTACCACCAGGCCCTACAAAACACTTTCTGTATAAGGCCTCTTTGTTGAGACGAAAAGACACAACAAATCTACCCTAAATGCATGCAAACAAAACACAGGGAGTCAGCTAGAATGAGACAGTGCAACAAGTCCCAAATGAAAGAACAGAACTAAACTCCTAGAAAAGAACTAAATGAAAGTGAGGCAAAGTAATCTACCAGATAGAGTTCAAAAAACTGGTTATAAGGATGATGCTCAATGAACTTAGGGGGAGAATAGATGAACTTAATGAGGACTTACACAAAGAGGTATAGGAACTATAAAACAGAACCAGTCAGAAATGAAGAACACAGTAACTGTAGTGAAGAATACAGTAGATGGAATCAACAGCAGATCACATGGATCAGGGGATCAGGTCAGCAATCTGGAAGACACAGCAGTGGAAAACACCCAACTGAAATGGCATAAACACAGAGAGAATTTTTTTAAAAAACCATAAAGACAGTTTAAGGGCCCTCAGGAACAACATCAAACATAACAATATTCACATCATAAGGATACCAGAAGGGGAAGAGAGAGAGAGAAAAGCACTGAAAAACTATTTGAACAAATGACTGAAAACTTCCCCACATGATGAAGGAAACAGACATACATGTCCAGAAAATGTGGAGTTCCCAAAGTGATGAATCCAATGAGGTTCACATCATAATTAAAGACATATAATTAAAATGCAAAGGTTATAAACAAAGAGAAAATCCTAAAAGTAACAAGAGAAAAGAAGTTAACTTTGTTCAAGGGAGCTCCTATAAACCTCTCAGCTGATTTTTGTAATAGAAAATTTGCAGGCCAGAAAAAAAAAAGACACAAAATATTCAAATTGAAAGGCAAAAGCCTACAACTATTATTATTCTACTCAGCATGGCTGTCATTTAGAATGAAAGGAGAGATAAACAGTTTTGCAGACAAGAAAAAGCTAAAGAAGTTCATCACCAGTAAAACAGGAACAGTAAATATTACAGGAACTATTAAAGGGACTTTTTTAAGTAGTCAGAAACATGAATAAGAAAATAAAGGAAAAAAATCTCACTGGCTAAGGCAAGCGCTTAGTAAAAGCAGTGAATCAACCAACTATAAAGCTAATACAAAGATAAAAATTGTGTAATTACAACAATAAAGGGAAACACAAACACATTCAAAAAAAGTAAAAAATAACAAAAAAATAAACATGGAGGGAGAGAGTAAAAATTGTAGTGGATTTAGAACGTGATCAAACTTATACAACAATCCACTTTAAACAGAATTCTATAAACATAATTTGGTATATATGAAGCACATGGTAATCACAAAGCAAAAACATGTAAGAAATAAAAAATATAAAGAAAGTCATAACACTATAACACTATAGAAAGTTACCAACATACAAGAGATCAAGAGAATAAGGAAGAGAGAACTACAAAACCATCAGAAAACAATTAATAGCAATAATTGCATACCTATTAAAAATTACTTTAATTATAAATGGCCTAGTGCTCCAAACAAAAGACATTGGCTGAATGGATTTAGAAAACAAAACTTGTGCATATGCTGCTTAGAAGAGGCCTACTTCAGACTCAAAGACACACACAGACTGAAAGTAAAGAGATGGAAAAAGATATTTCATGCGAACAGATTTTGTTAAAAAGCTAGGATAGCAATACCTTTTTCAGAAAACAGACATTAAAACAAAGGCAATAAAAAAAGTCAAAGAAGGGTATTTCATAATGATAAAGGAACTGATACAAAAAACAATGTAACTCTTGTAAACATTTATGCACCCAAAGTAGGAATACCTAAATATATAAAGCAAATATTGATGAACATACAGAAGAGATCGACAGTAATACAATAGTAGTAGGGGACTTTGACAACCCACTGACATCAATGGATAGATTATCCAGACAGAAAATCCAGAAGGAAACGGTGATCTTAAACGGCATAGTAGACTAGATCAGCAATTTTCCACTAGTGTGTCAAAGTGCACCAATGTGCTACAAGAATTTTTAAAACATGCCACACCTGACAATTTAGTCAGGGGCACTGACCTCTTTTCCTTTAGATTGTGAAGTAAAAAAATGACAACGGCCAACACAACAACCACCATTCAGTATGAGTAAATTATACCTATTTTTTGTCAGATCAGCAAAAAGTGTATTTTTTGATGTGCCACGGAATCTTAGTAATTACTTTATGTGTGCCATGAGCTAAAAAAGGTTGAAAATCGCTGGACCAGATGGACTTGATATTTTTTGGACATTTCTCCCAAAAGAAGCAGATATACATTTTTCTCAAGTGTCCATGGAGCATTTTCCAGGACAGACCACATGTTAGGTGACAAGAAGAAAAACTAAAGACAAATGGAAATAAAGGTAAAAGCAGAATTCAATGAACTAAAAATAGAAAAATAAGAACTATGTTCTTTAGCCAACAATCAATAGCTGCATCTCTACCATAAAAATGCCAGCCTAGGAGCTAATCCAATAAGTAAGAAAAATCCTTCTATTACAGAGTGCCCTTGGTCAGGCTGTGGAAAGCAAGCAGTAAATTTGAAGAGCAGGGGAGGCTGCAGTAAAAGTCAGACCTGTCTCAGGGAGGGCCCTTACTGCTAAAACAAATTTCAGAATTAATGCTTCTTTAGCATATTAGTTCTAGAATGCAAAAACAACCATATAGCATGGAAGGTGTCAAAAATATTGCAATAAAACTGAATGAGCACCCCCCCCACAAAAAAAGTGAAACTTAGAGATGATTCAGTTAGAAGATAAAGTTGGTAAGTCTCTGATCAGAATGAATGGTAAGAAAGGGAAAAAATACAACCGACCATATTAATAATGAGAAAAAAAGACATCACTACAGATGTTAAAGATTTTAGTGTTTAAAAAGATGATTTTCTGAATGAATTTAAGTCAATAAATTCTACAACATAGAAAAAAGGATTCATTCATTGTATAACACAAACTACCAAAGCTCACTAAAGAAAAAAATAAATAGTATTATTAGCCTGTTATCTAGTAAAAAATGGTAGGGAAAAAAAATAACTGGAGAGCATTATGCTAAGTGAAATAAGCCAGGCAGTGAAAGACAAATACCATATGATCTCACCTATAAGTGGAACCTAATCAACAAAGCAAACAAGCAAGCAAAATATAACCAGTGACACTGGAATTAAGAACAATCTGACAGTAACCAGAGGGGGCGGGGGAACGGGGTAACAGGAAAAGAAGGGGAAAAGTCATCAAGGAACATGTATAAAGGGCCCATGGACAAAGCCAACGGGCGACAGGACTGAGGGTGAGGCGGGGAGAAGCGGTACCGGGAAAATGGAGACAACTGTACTTGTACAACAATAAAAAAAATAAATTATACCTAAAAAAAATAAAGAAGAAAATAACCTTAGCACCACAAGAACTCCATACAGAAAGCAGATCAGTATTTACCTTAGGATGAGGGTAAAATGTGAATTGAACAGAGGAATGGATTACAAACGTGCCCAAGGAAATTACTGGGGATGATGAATATTATTGCATATTCATTATATTTGACATGTCAAAACTTATCAAAGTGCACATTTTAGGTAAATGCAGTTTGTTGTATGTTGATTATATATTAATAAAGTCATTTTAAAATTGGATTGAAGGACCAGGAGGAAACAGAAACAACTGTTATGTGGCTGTTACAATTCTCCAGGCAAGAGGCAGTGATAGCTTAAACTGAAATGGAACCGTGGAGATAGACACATGAGGATAATCTTAAAGTTTGTTAAATTACACAATTGGCAATACTTTGTTGGTGAAACGAATATTGGGAGTTGAAGGAAGGAGGAAGGAATCAAGGACAACTTTTATTTTGGTTTAAGCAACTGAGTGAATAGTGGTGCTGTTTACTAAAATAAGGAAGACTGGAATAGAATTATGGAGTCTAGGTTTTTCACCACAATCATAAAGACTGACTCAAACTGGTTTTGCAAGTTTTAACAGACTTAAAACAATAAACTAGGGTTTATATACAGACATCAAGAAAATAAAAGTGGGTACTGATCAACTACCATAAAGGAAAAAGTTATTAATATGTTTATGATACAGAAAAAGAAACTAGTAATTCATGAAGATTATAAAACAGGTGAAAAACACCTTTGCCCAAAATATTTTTAAATGAATAATTTAGGTATGTGTACCCATTAGAAAATGATTAGCTAAACTATTTTAATTAAATGCTATGTTTTACTTCTAGTGGGTTTTTCTATTAGTATTACTTAGGTCTATTTGCATTTTTAACTAAAAATATTTGTGTCCATTAAAATCAAAATTTAAATTAAAAATTACTAACTGAAAGAAAGAAGATATAGGTTCTTTATTTCCTTCCATAGCTTTGCTCACCTGTTTAGTCTTTCAAATAATGTTCCAAATTGTGCTGTTTCATATGATGTACTGAGAACATCTTGACTTTCATTTAATTTGGAAACCAGGGTATTAGAATAATTAACATTATTGAGCTGAAAAACAGAAAGGAAAAACCTGCCAAAATGGTAAATGTTCATATGCACAATTAAAATTATTTACTATAAATAATTTTACTATAAATAATACTATTATTTATTATTTACCATTTCAGTGGACATCTATATTGAAAAGAAATTTTTTTCTTAAAGTAACTGTGTCCTTATTAAAAACAAAATAAACACTGTTCTAACAACGAGAGTAATATCAGCATTTGTATAACAGTTGGTACCATGGTGAGCTAACCATTTTCTTAGAGGTTAAAAAGACAAAAATATGTATTAAAAAGAAAAATACCCAGAATACCAGGATCTTAAGGAAATAAAAGAAGTCAAACTTCTCTAACAGAAAATAATAGCTTCTCCCAAAGAAACAGCTGTACTTATCTAAGTTCTTCCACTCACTGAGTAATTTTACAGATTGCTAGTTTAATTTTTCTGAATATCAGTATCATTGAGTACAATAGGGGAAAGTGTGTGAAAATTGTTGGAAAGAGTAGATGAGATAATCCACTTGTTAATATGGAAGGTACTTAGTATTCTGGCAATAATAATTTATATCTGTAGTATATTTTATTTATAAACCACAAAACAGAATCCCAAAGACAATTAATAATAGAAACAGGGGGGAAAAAAAGGAGACAAAAAGAGTAACTCAAAGTCTTCTTTTAAACAAAAAGATCTCAAGTTAGGGAGAGCTGGAAATAAAGTCTCATAATTTATTACAGTCTCAGAGATGCAGTGACAGAAGTACAGAGAGAGGCAAAGCCATCCCCTGAAGTAAGAAACATACAATCGAAAGAAAACAGAATATTATATATCGGCTTAATGCTACTTCTGTAGAGACAAGTGAGCCCCAGATTACTTTTTCTTCTAACCTGTTTTTCTCAACTCATTTTCTTTTGTATTTTATTATTTAATTTTAATTCTTTTCACTTTTTTTGAAATCCCTCCAAGTAAGCTATTACTTCCATAATACTATGCCTTAGACATTAGCCTCCCTTTTCTCCCTTCTGCCATATTAAGTATAACATTATTACCCCTCTGGAAATAATCACTAACTGCAATCTATAAGTAGATTATTTAAGAAGAGATTACAAGGAGTTTCATTCTCCATTCTATAAACTATTTAATAGAGCAAAGATGAGTTATAAGCTGATCTAGGATGCAAGTTTTACTCTTATATTGTACAAAGTGAATGGGTAATTAGTTTTTCATAGCATTATCTAAAATTACTGGGTCTTTCATAGGGCTAGCACATATCACTGGAATGTAATAATTCATTTTCTCTTCTCTGAAAACAGAAAACATACTTGTATAAAATTGAATACTATCATTACATATAGCTACAGTATACCATAACATATAACTATAATGTGTTTAATTATAAATTTATAAATTAAAAATGTTTAAATAATAAATATAAAAATATGGCCAAAAAATCAGTGTGTTCTAAAAATGAAAGACTTCAAAACTAAATATTCCTGTTGACAAAACAGTGTTTATATAACCACTTCCTCACTACCATTATACATTAATATAGTAATCATTAATAATTTTATTTTTTAACTCTACATTAAATTAGTAAAAGATCATGTCTTGTTATTTTTATGACAAATATATTTCAGTATTTTAAAATGTAGATGCTTTTATAATTTTTACTTTGGAGAATATGACGATTAAAAAACACTTTAGCACTACACATCTGTATCTATATAAATGTATTTGTATATTTTTAATTAACATACATTTAACCAGTTCTCATTTGTCAAATCATAAAAAGAATCAAGCCATCACAACTCATATTTTAGCAGACTACTATGGCTACTGAAATTATGTACAGCCATTCACAGGACCCTTTCCACTGCATGCCTACTTGGCTACCATGACATCATTAACTGGTCATTTACTGTGATTATGACCATCAACTATTATAAAATATACTCAGCTATTTTCAATTTCACTACCAACAGTTTTATAAAAGGACAATTTCAAAGGTTTTCAAAGAACATTCCAGTTTTGGGATTTATAATTTTCTATAAATTATAAGTGCAGAGAATTAAGCTTTTATCCTAAGAGGAATTATTTATTATACTTAATTTATCTCCTAACTTGGCTACATCTACAGCAATTCACAACTAATATTTATTTTTTTAATTGACAGGAATTACTAAGACAAGAGAAGTTATCAACTAAGCACGTACTGAACAGCTCCTTTCTATCTGCCTTTTCACCTTTGGTCCTCTCTTCCCTAAACTCCATTCCTGCTGGTCATCTCTTCACAACAGGAAATCTGCACTCCATTAACCCACAAATTCAGGTGAAGAGATGTCAAAGAGATGTTAGTATCACTGCTGTTATCTTTTTGATGAAGTTTAACTTTGACAATTCGAAGGAAAGAAAGGATAATAATATGGTACTGGACCACAGAATTTCAGGCTTTAATCACAATCTATGCATTTTCTAATTGATTAAAATTACTTGCTAAAAGATAATTATTTGCAATAAATACTTCAAAAGAAAAACCATCTTAGGATCAATGTTAATTTTGAAAATCACAATTCAACATAAAACAAAACACTTTGGTCACTATACCAGAAGAGATAAATTGACAATGAACACATGGTCCCAAAGTAAGAATCCCCAAATGAATTATCCTTTGCAATTTGTCAGTAACAAGTAGAATCAAATGTTAGGCATGCTTAGGCCTACTCTACATTACCTTAACTCTAAAGGATTTCTCACTAGCAGTCAGCTAAAATACGTTTATGGTATATGCTCCTTACATTAAAAACTTCTAAAAGAATAATTTTAAAGACTAAAAAAATTTTAAAGGCTAACTAGTTTACCCTGATATTCAAAAATCGTATTATTTGGTAGCATGCCACAATTGTTAAAATAACTCATAAATTTTTTTTAAAAAATTCTCACCTGTACTGGGCCCAGCTCTTCATTGCTGCCTACTCTTTGATTGTGAATACTAATAATAAAAATAAAAGGTGAAGATTAAAAGCAAAGATGGCAATAAAATTGACTATCTCTTTATATATATATTAAAATTCATACTGTTCAATACAAATAAACAAAAACATAAGACACTCTAATTAAATCATTCCAGGGACCTACTCAATACTATTGTTGAGTTTTATAAAATTATACTATTACTAGAGAGACATTTTTATGAGAAGGAAAGTCAAACTATGCACACAAAACAGTATGAGCATTAGGTTATCTGACAAAGGTCTTAATAGTTTAACAATACAGCAATACAAAATCTGGAGGTAAAAGAATAAGCCCTTTGTACACTTTCCAAATGAATAAAACAGTGTCAGTAATGATCAATTTAAATACCTAATAATATATAATCTAGATAAAACCTACTTGTTTTCTATATCATCAATGCAGAGGTTTGATGGTACACAGGGAGGCGACATCGGAAGTTCTAAATCACGCTTTCTTAGGGGCACTTTTATGTCTCTATTCATATTGACATGGATTGGTTTTCTCACAGTTTCTACAACAAAAAATATTTAGAAATAAGAATGGATAACAAAAATCTTTTAAAAGCATGGCTTGATATACCATGTTCATTAAATAAATGTATACCTTAGAAATTTACTAAAACAAATTATGTTCTATATGTGCTTTTAAAAAGTCATTATAAACTTTTCTTCAAGTAAACTTTTTCTTCATCTTACATACTCTTCATAAAAGTGGCTCTATAATTATATTCTACTTTTTTCTTCCTCCAAGACTTCCCTGACCCCCAGACTATGAGATACGATGTTATATACTGTAATAGCATTACATATGTTCTCTATTACAGCACTTACAGTTTACTGTGTTTCATTAACTCTACCTCACTATTAATAGATTTTTAAACTTGACAGAAGCAGAAGCCTTGTCTCTCCTTATAAAAGTTATCATTATGTCATCTGTTCAGTACTTTTAACTACTCTCCTATTCTGAGAAATGCTTTTTACACATGGACAGTATAGAGAGTACTAGAATAGACTTTCTATCTTCTTATAAAACCCTACCTCTCCGGAAAAGTAACTGGTTTATGGGTAGCCATCTGACCCAAGATGAATCAGTAATAATATCAAATCCCTCTGGTATTAGGTAATTGTTCCAGAGCTGGGACCCAACATCAATAGGGCAAGACAACATCAATCCAGTGGAATTTAAAAATCAGAGCAGGGAAACAATCTTTAGTATTTCCCTGGTGGCAAAACTAAAGCATGAGAAATATTAGGATTTTTAAGGCCACATTTTAAGTTTCAGTGATGAAGACAGTCTGAGAGCATAACGCCAAAATCTTAAGTGAAAATCTTCAGAACATCGAAGTCCCTAATTCAAGCGGTCTCTGAGGCCCAGCTGCACCACTGCTCTTCCTTTCAGTTACGTGTGTTAATCCATGCAGGCGGCTGTAACAAACAGAACACCACAGATTGGGGTAATTATAAACAACAAAAATTTATCAGCCTGTAGGCTCCGCAGTCCAAGATAAAGGTGCTATCAGATTTGCTGTCTGATGAGGCCCACTTCCAATTCATAAACAGCTATCTTCTTGCTGTGTCCTCAGACAGAGAAAGGTGCAGGAGAGTTCCATGGAGTCTCTCTCATAAGGGCACTAATTCCATTCATGAGGGCTCCACCCTCATAACTTAATCACATCCTAAAGACCCCACTTCCTAATATCTTAACACTGCAGGATAGATTCCAACATATGAACTTGTGGGGAGGGGAGGAGATACAAACATTCAGCCCATAACATTAAATAAATACATATTTTAAAAATTTCTGTCATTTGCAGTCACGAGTCCTGGCTAATAAAATTTTGTTCTTGTAGGGGAGGAAAAACATCTTTTTCCTTCACTTCTCTAAACTCTTGGCTTGGGCCCCTGTAGCAAAAGACAGATTAACAAAAAAAAATGTATTCAATATAAAGTTTTATGTAAAAAATTTTATATGGAAAAGAAAACCCAAAGGGATGGTTAAATTTGAGTGTTTTCATGCTATGTTTGAAGAAGTGTGGAAAGTCAGGGCAAAAAGTGATAGGACAAAAAGGGAATGAGCTAAGTGTAGCAAAACTGGGGAAAACAGCAAGACCTGTTCATCTAGATTCCTCTCAGTGCCCCTCTGTCTTGGAGATAAAGATCCTCCCTATTTAGGGAAAGCGTCTTTCACATGAGAATCCTTCCCGTGCATCCTGCTTCTCAAATTCCTTCAGCTTAAATCACTGAATATGCCAAGGTTCCATCAATTTGAGTAGCGTGTCCTGACCCCATCACTTTCTGTTTAATTTCCAGCATCTAATATAAAACTTATGGTAGGCACTCAATAAACATATGTTGAATATATGAATGAAAAGAAAGTGGGGTGCATATATTATTTTTGATTAGTGGTCTGGGATTCTTAGGATATATTCCCAGAAGTAGGATCACTGGGTCAAAAGGCAGATTCATTTTTTTGCTTTTTGAGCTATCCCCATACTGTTTTCCACAGTGGCTGCACCAGTCTGCATTCCCACTGACAGTGTACTAGGGTTTCCTTTTCTCTGCAACCTCACCAGCACTTGTTTGTTAATTAATGATGGTCATTCTCACCAGTGTGAAGTAGTATCTCATTGAGGTTTTAATTTGCATCTCTCTGATGATTTGTGATGTTGAACATTTTCATATGTCTATGGGTCATCTGCATGTCATCTTTGGAGAAGTGTCTACTCAAGTCCTTTGCCCATTTTTTTATTGGACTGTTTTCTTCCTGGTGTTAATGTGTGTAAGTTCTTTATGACTTTTGGAAATTAACCTCTTATCAGGTGTATCATTGGCAAATATGTTCTCCCATGCAGTGGGTTCCCTTTTCAGTTTGTTCATGGTTACTTTTGCTGTGCAGAAGCTTTTCAGTTTGATACAGTTCCATTTGTTTATTTTTTCCTTTATTTCTCTGGTGTTAGGAGATGCATCAGCAAAGGTATTGCTCTGAGAGATGTCTGAGATTATACTGTCTGTTTTCTTCTAGGCTATTTATTGTTTCCCAACTTACATTCAAGTCTTGTTTCTACTTTGAGTTTATCCTTGAGTATGGTGGATGAGTGGATAAAAAAGCTGTGGTACATTTATACAATGGAATTCTATGTGGCTGTAAAAAAGGAGGAACTCTTACCCTTTTCAAAGGCATGGGTGGACCCTAGAGAATATTATGTTAAGTGAAATGAGTCAGTCAGAGAGAGACAAGTACCATATGATCTCACTCGTAACATAGAATCTATTGAACAAAACAAACTGATGAACAAAATAAAACCAAATGTATGGACACGTGCAGCAGACTGACAGATCTCAGAACAGAGGTGAGGAGGGGAGACTAGAAGAAATCAGCTAAAGAGCCTATACGCATACATGCAAAGCCCATGAACACAGGCTCCAATGTGGTGAAGGTGGGAGTTGTGGGGCCGGGTGGAGGGAGAATGGGTGGGGGGCGGGGAATGAAGGACATCTGTAATAGTGTCAACAATAAAAAGTTTTTTAAAAAAGAAAATAAAGTGGGAGAGAGAAAAAATATTTAAAAAATAAATACATCACTGGTCAGTGACATCCAAAAGAAACCAGAACCTTATCTTAAATAAGACATTAAAAATCAACTCAACATGGATTAAAGACTTGAAGGCCTGAGACCATAAAACTCCTAGAAGAAAACCTAAGGGGTTAGCTCCTTGACATCAGTCTTGGCAATAACATTTTTGGACATGATACCAAAAGCAAAGGCAACAAAAGCAAAAATAAACAAATAGGACTACATCAAACTAAAAAGCTCCTGTACAGAAAAGGAATCCATCAACAAAATAAAAAGACAACCTATGAATGGGAAAAAATATTTGCCAATCATGTATTTGAGAACTCACATAACTCACTAGCAATCTAAAAAGTACTCTGATTAAACTTTTATTTACTGGAATAATCAAAGTGCAGGCCAAAATGAACTTTATTTTGAAATGAGACTACTATAGTTAACTTCCCATGGATGTATAAGAAATTATTCAAGTTGTGAGACAGGGAACTAATCACTGAGGCAAAAATCTTTCCAGCTCTTCCTTTCAAACAAATTCTCTGGATAGCATAAGATAGTAAAGAAACTTATTCCCTGGCCTTTAGCTAAACTTTGGTAACCATCTGCTTAGAGTAATAACTGAACTAACTGAACAAGAATAACCATACCTTGTAAAATTAATTTTATATAACACATGACCTAAAAATAAAAATAAATGGATTATGCAACAAAAGATTTTCAACAAAAATTAACAAGGCTTCTAATTTAAGAGCACAATTGAAAAACTTGAATTTCTAATTCAAGTTTTAAAATTAGTTTCCATTCCACAACCTTTGGGCTCTAAAACTACAAACTTATTAGAAAACTCAAGGATATGATAGCATCAGAGTCAAACAAAATGCTACTGGAAAGACTGACTTACCAGGTATTTTCTTCTGGCAAGAGATCTGATTTACCACATACAGGTTAAGGAGGTCTAAACTGACAGTGGAATTTTTGACAGGAGATAAAACTCCCAGTGACTTCATTTTTGATCTTAACCTTTTCTTTTCAAAATATTCCTAAAATAATTAAAAATTAAAAAGTCATTGCAGCAACAACCATGAGGTTTCAGGCAGAATTATAGATAACAAAAGGCAGTAATACTATTAAATAATTTAGTTGATATTTTTATAATTTTGTGACAACCCTGTTATATCTTTACATATAAATTAAATCCAATAATTATGGCTTTAATTTGCCCGAAGACTCTAAATTTTACAATTGGCTATAATCTTTTGTTAAATGTAATACCTTTTACAACAGAACTTTATAAAGCCATTCCCAGGTATCATAAAAATGGTATAAATGTAGAAAATTTTAAAAACTTGGTAGAACAAATCCAACAGGCTAAAAACTTACTTTTCTTCAAGGTATGCTAACCTACAGATATAAAAAACATTAAATATATGCACATCTAAGGACTATTAAAAGTCAACTGAGTTTATGGTTCGGCTGGAAGGTCAGGGGTTCAATTCAAAGTCAGGGCACATGCCAAAGTTGCAGGTTCAGTACCTGGTTGGGGAGTGTATGAGAGGTAACTGATTGATGTTTCTCTCTCACGTTGATGTTTCTCCCCTTCTCTCTACCTCCCTTACCCTCCCTCTAAAATCATTAAGTAGGTCCTCCCTAGGATAAGGATTAGAAAAAAAAGTCACCTGAAATGAAAAGAAGAAAAGAAAAAGAAGCCATGTAAGAACTAATCTCCAGCCAAAGCCAATTTAATTCCATTTATTTCTCCGTGAATTCCAGATTTTTTTAGACCAGCCTTACACATAATTATCATCTTTCATGCAGTATTTATGTTTTTCTTGGTTGGTTGAACTAAAATCATTCCTCCTTATCTTCATTATTTTTCTCTCAGATTACATCCCTAATTTACCAAGTTCAAAGGTATTTGTTTGTTTAAAATTCATTTACTGGGCAACTATTATATAATAAACATTAAAAAACAAATTGTGAAAATATCATCTCTTCCATTAAATAACACATAATACAATGCCATAAACAAGGATTACATATGTGAGATATCAAAAGCAAGAAAAGCCCAAGATGGCAAAAAGTTTAATGCAAAAGGAAGTATCAATTTTCCAAGAAGTTAAGGCTCTTCTGCATTAGCTTTTCAAAAATATTGTTAACTATAATAGACTTTTCAGGTTGTAAAAAACTTGTAAGAATTTTAAGAGACTTGCCAGCTATCAGGCAGGAAAGTAAATGTAATGTTATTATGCAAAATTAACCATAGATAAAAAGTATGTCTATATATTTCATTTGAGTGATTTGTAACCCCAACTAGGACTTAAATGTCTTTATTTTTTTAAGATGTTATTTATTTTTAGAGGGAGAGGAAAGAAGGGAGAAACAGAGGAAAAGAAACACAGATCAGTTACCTTTTTTGGGCACCATGTGCAGGATCTTATCTGCAACACAGGCATGTGCCCTGACCAGGAGTCCCCCCAACCAACTGAGCCACTTGGGTCAGGGCTGAATTTAAATGTCTTTAAAAAGATCACACTATATAGCTCAGTAATGAAATGACAGGACTTTCAGGATGTAAATATTTTCCCCCCTGAAGAAATGACTATGGCTCTAATAATTGATGGTGTCTTGAAATTAAGATGCTAATTCCAAGTACAATAGGAGATGGTAGAGGATCCTCGGGAAGGATATATAAACTATGGGTAGGTGGGGTGAGAGTATGCAGAGGGAGGGCTAGAGGAGATGGAAAGTTTCTTAGGAAATTACTTCCAAGATAGACAGATGTATGGGAGCTAGCCCGAGGATGGGAACACGTATAAGATTCCAGGAGTAAGGAAAAACAGTACAAGGGCTATCTAATCCAGGGAATACTTCCGAAGCAGCTGGACCTCATACCTAGCCATCATGACAGCCTCTAATGTTTGCGTTCCTAGAAAAAACAAAGGTATATGACTCACTTATTTACCTGACAAGGTTAGGCTTAATTTTTATATCAACTTTCATTTGGTAGAGATGAGCAGAAAATATTTAGAAAATAATCAGAAATGTTACAGAAAATAAATAATAAAATTTTAACATGAAAATAGCCATCTAACGATAGCACCTGTGAAACAAACAAAATGTGGACAATGTGTCAAAGGAAACAAGGGAAGATCTTGTTTCAAGATGGAGGGAATGGGCAGTTCCCCAACTGCAGACTATCCACTTTGTGAAATGCTAAGTGAAGTTTGTTTGTATCATTAGAAAAGTAGGCGGGGCGGGGGGGGGGCGCAGGAGATGATGGCATAGTAAAGTAAGTTGGATTGAAAACTATCCTTGAAATGTAACAACATGAAATTAAATTTTGACATTAGCAAGGGCTGTATAGTGAAGTAGACTGAGAAGTGAATGGGAGGGAAGAGTGAAGGAGTATAGCAAGAAAGGGCAAGAATCCAGAAAGGACTTTTGTTTTAATAGGACAGAACTGAAACACCAATAGACAGCCTTTGGTTGACAGGGAGTGGTAGAAGACACATGAAAGGGGAGAGGTAACTGAGATCCCTGAAAAAGCAGAAATAAATGGAATTCAGATCACAAATCACTTCCTTTGACAAAAGGAAACTACTCTATAGTCATAGCAGGGAAAGAAAAGATGGGCGAAAATAAAAGATGGTTTACAGAATTGGTGGTAGAAATTGAGATAATTCTCATCTAACAGGTTCTATTTCCTCTGAAATATGAGATAAAGTCATCTAATGAGTATGAAGGGGATGCAGGGGTGTCCAACCTGCAGTCCACTGACCACATGCAGCCCAGGATGGCTGTGAATGCAGCCCAACACAAAATCATAAATTTACTTAAAATATTATGAAATATTTTTATGATTACATGTCACAATGTATTTAATGTGTAGCGCCCAAGACAACTCTTCTTCCAGTGTGGCACAGAGACGCCAAAAGGTTGGACACCCCTGGAACAGGGTAGGGGAAGAGGTTTGGGGAGATAAAGGAAGATACAAAATTTTCAAAAGAACAGGAAATGACCTCACTAGAGAACAACACTTGAGGGAAGGGCCATTTCTTTTTCCCTTTCTTATCCAAATAGAGTGAAATTATTTTTTTAAATATAATCTGGGGATAGATTAAATTCACAGTATATGCATGATTGAGTGGGCTATGTTATTGCTAGATACAGTTTTAGGCACAGGAGATACATAATGAATAAAAGTAATAAGATCCCTCTTCTCACTGACATATTTTAATGGCCACGGGAGGCGAACAGATTTTTTAAACTATAAATACCAGATTATGAAAAGAATGATGAATGAAAGAGAGTGTACGAGAAAGTAACTAGAGGGTGGGAAACTACTTAGATGTAGTGATTAGAGAAAGCCAATCTAAGAGGAGATGCTTTAGCTGAGATGCAATGCAATCATGTAAATAACTCCAGGGAGAATATTACAGACAAAAAGAAGAAAAGTAACAGAAAGAGTTAATTATGCCTGAAATACAATGGACAATCGGGCAAGTGTTAAGAAATAAGGTCAGAGACGCAGGCAAGTTGCAGATGCTTCAGGTCCTAGTAGGCTATGGTTAATAGATTTACTCTCTAAAAGCAACTGAGGCTTTTAAGCCAGGAAATAATAACTGTGATTTGTGCTTTTAAAAAATCCTACCAACCTCTGTGTGAAGAATGGGCTAAAAGGAATAAAAGGTAAGGCAGAAAAGAGTTGCTAACTTCAATTATATTAAAATTAAGAGCTTTCCCTCAAAGACAGCACTAAGTAAAAATAAAAGCTACAGAGTACACATATGACTGACAAAGAAGTCCTAAATATATAAAGTCAGTCACAACAAGAAGACACACCACCCAAATAAAAACAAAATGAGCAAAACAGGTGGCTAATCAAGCTATCTACAAAGTGAGAAGGCTAAAGGAGGATGGTCTTCCAATTTCACTTAGATGAATTTATAAACCTGGGGAAAAACTTCAAAAGGTCACGTTACTCATAAAACTAACAACACAAATAAAAATAAATTTTCTTTACCCTTTGCTTTCTCTGTTCCTGCTTGATCAGAACCCTGGTCCTGAAAAGAGAAGGATAAAAAAAAACATAACAATTATAGAAATGGTCTCTAAAACAACTGTCACTTCAGCTGATTGAACACTTGAAATTACAACTAAAAGTTTAGTGATAAAAAAATTTTTAAGTGTAGTTATAATTATATTATTTTCTAAAAAGACACTATGAAAACGTTCTTAAAATATTTATAGTATATAACCTGCCACATAATTTTCTTAGACAATGCAAGGATAAAACAGATTCTAGACCTATGATAAATAATTACACATAAAATAAATCTGAACTATAAATTCGAGATAAGCAAAGAGAAATCAATGATTGGAAAGGATATATCACTGAAATATTCTCATCTGACAGCAATATTCTTGGTCAATACTGCTGTTTTCTTACCTTTCTTTGTATTTAATATTATAATACAATCAACAGGAAATAGATGATCAAACTCTATACATAAAATCTAAGAAAATGCTAAGTTTATCATTAGAACAACTTCTGTTACATTACTATATCAGCTATTTGTACTTGAAATCTTGTATCTTCTTTAAAAAATAGCTAGTCATTATGGATGTCCTTCATACCTAAGAACTTTGTGCCAAACACTGCATTGAATCACAATGACAGTGCAGTATTTAATGATGATAAAATATCTGCTCTATTAATAACAGCAGAATGCTATGAAACATTCATGAAAATATAAGCAGATCTGTACAAAAGATTTTTTGACTATACATGAACTTAAATCTCTAACTCAAGATCTGGGCAAGAATTTTAGTAAAATGACAAAATATATCTTAGCTCTATGAGATTACATAATAAAATAACACATTGCTAATGAATACCATATGTCTTGCACCATTCTGGATACATCAGATATTTTACATAGATGAGATAATTTAATCTTCACAGCAACTCTGAAGGTAGGTTCCACTTTTTCCTGATAAAGAAACTACAATACAGGCTAAGCAACTTGCCCACAGTCACACAACTAAGTGGTAGAGCCCAGATTCAAACCCAAGAACTCTAATTTTAAAGTTTTTAACTACTGAAGTACACTACTTTCTAAGTATGTGAACCGTGAATATACTAAGCTGTTCATTTTTCTAAGTGTTTTTAATAAGCTACATGAATATGAGTTACTGAATACCTCTAGACTCTCCCACTTACTGAACTTGTTCTTTAACATATCCCCTAATAGTTATGTCTTAATTTACCATTTTGAGTTCACTGAGCAAACAATCTGGTATATTCAGCTCCATGTAACATCATAAGTGTACTACTGGCATTCACTTTAGGGAAAAAAGGAAATAAATTGCATTTCATTGACTCATCAAATGCTAAATCTAGAGTAGACCTAGGAATTTATTCTTCATCATTTTAAAACTTATAAAACTGAGGCACAGAGAACTGAGTGACTTTTCAAAGTTCAGAAATATAAGAAGCATGACAGAGCCGGCAATAATATTAAATTAAGATTATAAAAACTAATAAATATCAATTCTATAAGCAGTTTCCACATTATAAAGCTCAGTAGGATAACAAACATGTCCAAGTCTAAATACAGTTTTTGTGTATGTATAAATCAAGTAACTTTATTCCAGGCTGATTTTCCATTGTCCAAGACATTTTTATGGTTCTTACTAAATGCTATACACTACATACCCCCCTTACTATGTGCCTAAAAAATTAACTAGGTATTCAAAACCAACTGCTAGATTAGCCTACAACTCACTAGACCACAGTGAAAGTGAAAAGGATCCTGACTTCTAAGTCAAAGGTTCTTAAACAGAACATTTAAATTATTATCAAGGCAACCAATGCTACTAGGTCAAACTATGTCTAAATGCTTTATTGAATAGTCACTCTCCAATACCCACAGTAAAACAAAAAAGACTGCATCAGTTAAGCTTATTAGTTACAAGAAATTGGAAGCATCTTTGTCTAATTTATATAGAAAATAAATTTATTAAAAGGAAACTGGGTAGCCAACAGGCTTACCAAGAAAGCAGAGGAAACAGATTTGGTGACTGACAAAAAAAAAAAAAAAAGTAGTCGTCTAGGGAGCCGTGAGGTTCCCATCAAAATCCTGCCATAATTAGTCTCCAAAGTTGCCACTGCTGGCACTGGTGAACACTAACACTACTGACTGCATCATCTCCATCCCGGACACTGTACACCTCCCCCTGGCATTACTGTCCCTGAAACTGCAATCCTGCTGTAGCTCCTGCAACTGCCTAAAACTACAAAAGAGGCTCTGCAGTCCCTTTTTCCTTAAGTCCCTAACTTCTCTGTGTATGTAATATTTTATTTAGTCATTCATTTACAACTGAAACTCTGGGAATCCCAAATTAACATCCTTGCCCATGAGCTTCTTAGAGACACCAGAAAAAGTTTCAACTTTCTGTTCCACATTGTTCTGCTGAGCTTTATCCAAATGAACCTTTATGAGCTGCTTCCATCCAGTTTCACATGGATACTCTTGCTCACAGTTTCACTTGGGAAAGCCAACTCTTCCAGGACCATATTGTGCATCACTATAACAGTGCAGCTCCCTGATGCTTTTGCTTATTTTTTTATATGGATTTTCCCCCTTTGAGCAATAAAGACAATGTGCTTCCCACTGAACTTTTTTTACAATTTGCATAATAGCCAGACTTGAATTTTTAGTAAGATTCTGCACTCATAGAGGAAACAAGCAAACCACCACATCTTAGTCTGTATCTCAAAAGGTTTATCTGCATACTATAAAAGCTGCTGCCTGAGATCCAGCCTATTACTCTAGCAGGCACTAGGGGCTGGCTATATTCCTCTCTAGAGGCCAGGGAAGCTGGAGAATGTCTCTCCTGCTTTCTCATTCCAACCCACTCCAAGATGCCAGTATCTCCTGGGAAGGAGCTTGTAACCACATCTGTGCTGCAGCTACACAGGTCATTGGATCCCCTGGCTCTAATAGCCAAAGGGACTTCCTTTTATTAAAAAAACAGAACTGTAGTAAACAAAGAAACAATTCATAACTGGCTATCTCCCCAAGACTTAGCACAGAGAAATCAGGCAAAATTGCCCATATCCCAGTAATTTCCCAAAGAGAGGTTTACCTACTTACCATAAAAGCTGCAGCCTGATGGCAAGGCTTCTAACATAGGAAGGATCTAAAGGCTGGCTGTGGTTTTCCCTAGAGACCAGAGAAGCCTGCAGACACCTCTCACGGCTTGTCCCACCAGCCCACTCCAATAATAATACCAAGTTGCTATTATGTCCCTAGAAGGAGCTTAAACACTTATCTATGTCACAGCTTTTGTGACAGCCACCAGAAGGACAGGTCCCCAAATCACCTGACTCCAATAACCAAAGGGGCTTGCACTCATGGGTCTCACAGGAACGTGACAAAGAAAGAAATAGATTGCAATGGACACAGGAACACCATCCAGACAGTATACACTAAGTCCAGCAAAGAAGGGTCTGGCAAAAGAAAATAAAAAAACTCATCTCCCAGTTTCTCCCTGGAACGGTCTTAACTACATACATACCCCAGCTGCTGCCTGAGGGTCAGGCTCCTAATCAGCTAGCATCTAGGTGCTGACATTACGACACTGATGGAGCTCACCACATCCTCAACTACTGGGAGACACTAAGAACAAAGGAGGAGGCTAGGACAATCACAAAATCTGAGAGACAACTAAGAATATGAGACCATTCTGTCAAAACTCAAGAGAGGTAGCTGTTTAATGCGCAGAAACCAAAACAAAGGGTCAAGGAAAATGAAGAAACAAAGACATGTGTTCACAAAAAAGGACAGAAATGCATAAAGAATTTCAACAAAGATATAAAAAATGTAAAATAGTACCAAAAAGAAATCATAGAGATGAACAATACAATAAGTGCACTGAAAAATTCAATAAAGAAGTTCAACAGACTAAAGAGGAAGAAAAGATCAGTGAACTCAAAGACAGGGAAATGGGATTCATCCTATCAGAAGAGCAAAAAGAAAAGAGAATGAATAATAAAGATATCTTAAAATATTTATGGAAAACATCAAACAGACCAATATACACACTCTAAGGGTCCCCAAAAAGGAGAAATAAAGGGGCATAAAGCCCCTCAAAGTAATAATGGCCAAAAACTTTCCTAATCTGAGAAAAGTAACAGACATCCAGATCCAAGAAGACCATAAAGGACCAAATAAGAGAAAAATCCAAAGATTCAAACACTAAGACACATCATAATTAAATGTTCAAAGTTAAAAACAAGGACTCTAAAAATTCAAGAGCAAAGCAATGTATAACATGCTAGGGAAACCCATGACCATGGGCAGATTTTTCAACGGACTCTTTACAGGCCAGGAAAAAGGTAATATAACATTCAAAGTCCTGAAAGAAAATAGACTGCCTACCAAAAATACTCTACCTAGCAAAGCTGTCCTTCAAAATCGAGAGAGTGCATTTTCCAGTCAAACAAAAGCATAAGGAGTTTGTCACCAGTAGACCAGCTTTACCATAAATGTTACAGGGAATTCCTCAAAGTGAAATAACAGGATACCAATTAGTAACAGGAAAATGTATGAAAGTATAAAACTGGTAAATGTAAATATATAAAGTCAAAATATTCTAATTTAATCTTCATAATTCCATTTTGAAGGTTAAAAGGCAAGACTATTAAAAACAATATAACCACAATAATTTGGTAATGGATACCCAGTGAAAATGATGTAAATGGTGACATCAAAATATAAAAGGTGGGAATGAGAGAGCTCTGATATAGGTTTCAAGGTTTCAAACAGACTTAGAAATGTTTATGTAAGAGTCATGGTAAGCACAAAGTAAACGCTCATGGTAGATAAATAAAAGTGAAAGAGAAATGAATCAAAGCATAGGGAAAATCATCAAATCATGAAGGAAGAGAGCAAGAGAAGAAGAAAGGAACAGAGAAATTACAAAACCACCAAACAACAACAACAACAACGACTACGAAATGGCAATAACAAGTCCATACTGATCAACAATTACTTTA